AGCCTTATAGCCTTTTCCTGTTTATATCTAGTCTTCTTTACAACTACGGCTATTAGTACGGGCATAAATCTGCTAATAGGTAGCTCTTACCTTGCTTCTGTAGTGCCCTCTCGTATCTAGACTAGATAGAGACATTTACTAACGTATGCTTTACGCGGTAGTCGGTCCAACCCTAGAACTAATCGACATCGCGTATATCTATAGTCGCAGCTCTAGAAATACCTATTATTAAAGGTAGGTCGGTTCCGAATAAGTATAACTTATATCCCGTCTGTTCGTTAGCATTTATATCCGCCCGTCTGCTTCTGTATATATCCTTGTTTATAAGCGTACACTCGGGGTTGAGCGCGGCTACAATAACATCGTTTTTCTTGTTCGTCGCCTAGTTACGGAGATCTTTGTTCCGGGACCCTGCATACATTAGCGAATGTCTATAGCTATATATATAGACGTACGTTAGAGGATACCGATAATCGTATAGTACTCCTACCTGCTCGGAGCGTCGATAAGGGATAGTATATCTTCTCGCTCTTTTATAGTAACCCTACTACGCTATTTGCTTATAACCTTGTCTACGTTCCTAATAAAGTGTACACGACAGAGCATAAGTACATGCTATAGGTAATACTTAGCTGTATAGAGGGGGTCGATTTCGTACAGGTAGAGACTAAGGCCTATAGGTTAGCATAGGTACGGGCATAGGCTAGGGCATAGATACTAGTATATTAGCACCCGAGCTAATCGACTGCGACATAGTGCTACCCGTCCGTATCCCCGTAGATATGTGCCTACCTACATCTGCCTACACCTACGACAGCCGCTAAGGTCGTAAATAGGCGCTTCTATACGAGATAATATATCCGATTAGTATTCTTCTCGTTGCAGATAACCCGAGCCAAGGTGAAGACTATCTTATTAGCAGGTATATAGCTATAGGTTAGCCTATATATACGCTTTCTATTCTGACCTAACTCAACCGCAAAGATAACCTCGTTTATATTAGATCCTGCGATACGTTTGTAGGATATATCGACGTCGAATGACTAGAGAGACGTAAAGATCTCTGCTTGTTCCCTATAAAAGCATACCACTATCTATATACCTATAGGGGAGATATATACGTCTTAGATGTATTGCTACTAAATCAGCGTATATCAGCATCTATAGCTATAGATAAGGACGTACAGTCTTCGGGTTGAGTTTCTGCTGTTTGTATACCTATTCTACTACGTTAATATCGCGAAGGTGACTATACTCCGTATACTTGAGCTTTACTATTATCGCGGTTAAGCGCGAAGTATTGTTTAAAGCAACATAGAGCTTAGCAAGTAATAGTACCCCTTTTTTATTAAGGAACTGCTGCAATATCGGATAGACCTAGAATCGGGCTAAGGACTACGTAAGCGGAAGTCTATAGGTATAGCTATATATATACCCGTTGTTAGGTCCGGCGAAATGCACTTCTTAATCAATTCCTTTAGCTCTTCCTCGATAAGAGTAGGGACTTTCGTCGGAGGGGGTAGTATATGCGTATATTTGCCCCGAGATACGATTATTATATAGGGCGTCCTTATAGGATCGCGCGGGACGATGAAATCGAACTTGACCTTACACTCTTACGTAACGAGCTTGCCCTACCCTTATAGGTAATCGACTTCTACGCGGTGTTAGCTAATCTATACCTATAGGTCTAGACGTACCTACGGTATATCGTATAAACTACCTTTGTCGGCTTAACAACTATACAAACGTTAGTCGGACCTGCTAGTAGATTTTAGAAGAAGTCCTTAAGTATATCGATTAACTATTTCCCTTCTTTTAGAATAACTTAGCGGAAGCATAATAGTCGTAGGTGTATATAGTAGTTAGTATATACGAGTGAGTACTGGTAATAACTAGCCAGCGTCTATACAGTTAGCTATAGATATGCCTATATATATAACTAATTACTTATAGGCGTCTCTGCCTCCTCGTGCGTTAAACTACAATCTTCGCGTTGATCGTCGTAGGCTTTTCTCGACCGGAATCTTGCTTGTACTATATGCCAAAGCCTATGCCCGTAGGTTAGTACTCGGTAAACTATCTAACTACGGATATATATACGCATGTAAGTTCTCTACCCGGTATTACGTCTCTTCTCCTCTTAGTACGAATATCCTTACGAGCGGAGGTATAGAATTAACCCTCTAGTTTAGGTACTCGTCTGTAAGGCGATAGTGCGTAGCGCCCTCCCGGAGATATAAGCAAGCATATTAACATATCTTAACACCGCTACAATTCTTCCGTACCCGAATACAGGATACGCTATTGAAGTACGACGCTTTAGTTTCCTTCGGGGAATAGGGCTGCCTTGCCCTATATTGCATCTAATATATATTAGTATATATATAACAATATATACGCCTATATATACTCTATATTTAAGAACGGCCGGAATCTTTATAACGTTCTCTAGGATGAGATCGGTATAGTTATAGTAATCCGCAAGTAGAACGACATATATATAGCTATAGTTATAACTACTTAGGTATTCTAGTATCGTAGCAATATATTCGATATGCTTAATAGAAAGCGGGGCATATATAGTATTTGTAATAAGGGTAGGCCCGGGTCGAGGAAGTAGCTAAGTCTTGTTAGAAAGTATAGGCATACTATTAGCTATAGCTAAGCCTACAATATTGCTTTCTAGCTACTTATCTTCTACAGCCTCTAAGGCGATGCGATCTTCTTCCGCAAGCATTCCTAACGTAAAGACATTAGAGGCCTATATCTCGGTAAGCTAAAGGGTATATATATCTATATACTTATATATACGCGCTCGTTAATAGACTCGGTATACGAGATGAGCTTATTAGAATATTTATATTTATAATCTTCCTATATATAGGGAAGAAAGGTCAATAGAGTCTCTATAGCTTTAGTCGGTACTTTAGATAGTAGTTTTGTTCGGTGCTCGTAATCTGTATAGTCTAAGAAGCGGGCATTCGTATAGTAGAAGGAAAGGGAAGGGAAAGAATTAGTCGATTAGTAGGAAAGTAGATGCGTAGGCGCTAATTTGCGGCTAACCATATACACGGTTACGCACAGACTCGGCTATACGGACGTTGGTCAACTCCGCTTTTAGCGTGGTCAACCGCAGATTTCTCTGGCGTAAGTTGAAATCGGATCTGATGGGTTGCCAGGTTTCGAAGACGTGCCTCTGAGAGCGACATGCATGGATAAAGGCAGAAGGCCCTGTCAAAAACGCGAGACGAACGTAGCGCAAGCATTGGTTGTCGCCAGGTCTAGATTTCCACTCAAGTGGGTTCGTGGCCTCGACGAACTCCCCGCTGGGATGGAGTCGCGTATGTTTGCAGTGCTCGGGGATCAGGTTCAGACGTCTCGTTTCCGATCTGCGCACACAATTCTACCGGAACTTCCGATGAGCGAGCTCTTACCCCTGGCTCATCATCGGCATTTAGCAAGGTCGTCCTGCAGGCATCAGAGCTCGGTTGGTATGCCATGCCATGCCATGCCATGCCATGCCTACAGGTCGATGTCAGCAGATCGACGATTGCTTGCAGCAGAAAATAAATCGAGCTGGGCGGCAAGCACAGCTCTTCTGGTATGATATAATACCGACGTGTAGCCGTTGTCACGACATTATTGCCGCGCCAAGAGCCTGCGATGAGTATTCCTAGACGACTTTCATAAGATACAATGGTGGACACGGCAAATGGCATAAGGCAAACGATAGCCAGAATCAGCATTGTATAGGCTCGTGGAACGGCATGGCAATGGGCATGATGGCCTGGCTGGTGGGCATTCATGTCGGAGGGAAGAGCGACGGAGAGCATGTCATCTTGACGTGCTATGCAGCCAGGTGAACCCGGAAGATCTTATGGATAAGGAAGACGGAGGTCATACAGCGCAGTGAAGAGGGCGGCGGTGGCAAGATCAAGCTGCTCAACGCCGGAGCTTAGAACTACAAGGATCACAACGTCGACATCTCCTTGATCTCGCATCCAGGTATCGACGATGATCGAGCACTTATACGCACCGCCGCATACGCCAGCAAGGCCTTGGGATGGTATAAATGCCCTTGATGCTCTCATCACTGCCTACGATGCCATCTCTGTCCTTCGCCAGCAGACACAGCCAGGCGACATAGTACAGGGACACATTACTAATGGTGGACTGAGACCAAATATTATTCACGCATATGCTTCCGGCATGTTCGTCGTGAGCTCTGCAAATCGTGCTCGGTTGGACGCCTTGAAGAAGCGGGTGTTTGCTTGCTTTGATGCTGGTGCGACTGCTACAGGTGCCGAGTTGAAGTTGACTCCTAAGGGAGCCTATGATGACCATGTAAGTGGCGCCTGTTGCGCACTTTGCAATACTTCTGATTCCTTGAATAATTAGATGCCGAATCACGCTCTTGCGGCGATGATATTGATTATCTGACCGGCACCACGATGGCAAGCACGGACCAGGATAACATCTCATATGCGTATGCAAGCCTTGGCCTGCAGGCTGCTCGACATAATTCACAGGAGCAGAGCTGTGGTTTGCTGTATTCTCTCGCCGCTCCGGTGGTCTGGCTTCTTACAGCGTTTGTCTGCGAGGAAATGAGCGCAGCCTGCTTGACCACCATTCAATACTCCTTGCGAGAATGGCCAACTTGAGCTGCTGAAGGCGACGAGCGTCTGCCGCGTCATGTACCTCGCTCCGTATCCAGCAGGTAACATTGCCATGGTGAGATTCAATGCAACTACCTACTGAAGTGCTGCTCGCTACTATTCTCGTGTTTACAGATCGCGTACTCCGGCATGTGAGACTTCATATGCATGCCTTGGGATATCAGGATAGTTTCTCGCTGCCGATCACCCTCCGCCAGCATGGGAGAGTAGTACCATTCATGCGAGAATCAGAGGTGAAACCCGGCGACCCGATAGCCGTGTCCCGATTTGCGACGCTGCTCACTTTGCTCGAATTTTCGCTAATTTTTAAATTTCCACGCACGCCTCGCAGTGACTTCCGAATCCTGACGAATGGTGAACCTGGTCGTTGGTATATCGATCTCATTCCAAGCAAATCTACATTCCTCGCCTCATGGCTGCGCTGCCTTCGCAACCTCGCCAAGCGCTGCTGAGCACACTCGACACGTCAATTGATCGTCGATGGTAGGGCGCCCTGTTCGATAGCACACAGTCGCACGCGGTAAAACCTCTCTCCACACCACCACCACATCCAAGAGAAACCAGGAAATTGTAGCCCAAGACACCCTTTTGTTGACCACACATTTTCTATATCATGATGTGCACACGCTCTGATTCTTCCGTGTTGGACAGGCTTTTCAGACTCAAGAACCACGATCCCGAATACCAGAATACTGGACGTCATTGTCCACCTTTCCATCACCCATATCATCAATGACCATGTCCAGCATCAACAAAAGCACGCACATCATGACCAGCTTAGCGATGATCGCCCTGTTCGTCATCTCCGCATCGACATCCGCAGTTCCCAGACCTGCGCCATTCGCAAGACAGGCCACACCTTCCGACATAGCAACAACCTCTGAATCAACCATACCTTCTTCAACAACCGCAGCACCGAGCGTCGACCTTGCCGCACTCTGGCCAGCAGCCCAAGCAGCCACAAATACAGCCCCAGGAGATGATCATCCTACCGCCTGCAAACCAATCTCGATCTGCGACCGGCGCGTCAATTCCTGCGGAATGATGTACGGAGCGTAAGTCCGATCCTCCCTGCGACTGCAACCAAAAAAATTGCTGACCTTGTTTTTTTTTGCCCCCCCAGATGTTATGATAAGAATTACTGCGATGGCAATACTAGTCCCTATCCCATTCCAACCTGCCCGTGAAAGCATAACCATAACGTTGGACCGAAAATGGAAGCGCATGCATGATGATGATGTAGTTAGTGTTTGAAGAGAGAGAGGAAGAAGAATCTCGCACGATGAACTTTGAACGTACGTAGCACACATGAGATGTGTGTGTATGGATGACCGGTATGGAATTTCTAGAAGGGTGATGAAACACAGATAGCCTTCCGAAATGGCCATGAAAGGATTTTTTTTTGCCCCCTCTTGCCTTCTGGTTCATGTCTCTGTGTCATACATACATATCTGCCTCGCTGACGATTCCTCTACGAAGGATAATAAGAAATGCGACTCCGAGTACGCGGCACTGATCGGGCGCTCAAGTCAGATCATCAAACCATTCTCAATATCTTCATGATGAAGGTTGGGGCAGGAAATATCACATACGAATCGGCGTCTCATTTCATATCAAGGGAGCTTCGTAGCATACGAAATACGAAAAAAAAAGCCCCCTCATCTATCTATACAAGCAAACCAAGCTGGCACACAGCCCAACGCTTTATAGTGGTATCACAATGGCTTCATCCAACCCCGAAATCACCTTACCACCTCCTGCCATAAATCGGATCCTCGAGCCTCCTACTCTGCTGTGCCTTCGGCATGGGTCTAGACATACACATCCGACAAGTCCCTAACATGACCGGAAGCAGACACATGAGCCGGACCATCCAAGAGCCTATTGTCGTCTCCAAACTTTGCCCAGTACTCGCGGTCGTTGCCATGTTCGATAGCCTCGGCATCATGCCTGAACAAGCCCAAAATGTCCTTCATAGACAAATTGCCCATGCCCTTAGCACCGCCTTCGATGGCAGCGTTGGCGAGCTCTCGCTTCTTTTCTTGAAGATCGAGGATGCGTTCCTCGACGGTCTCGCGAATCGTGAGTCGGAAAACTTTGACATCGACTGTTTGGTTGAGACGATGAACGCGGTCGATGGCTTGTTCTTCGACGAAAGGATTCCAGAAGGGTTCGACGATGACGACTCTGCTGGCTGCCGTCAGGTTGAGGCCAAGAGAGCCGCACTTGAGGGAGCAGAGGAGGACGCGAGTCTTTTTGTCGTTGCGAAGGCTGTTGAGTGATTGCTCGCGAGCGTCCGGTCGCATGCTGCCATCGTAGCGGACGAAGCGGATGTCGGCATGACGGAGATGTGGTTCGATCAAGTCCAGCATGGTGGTGAACTGCGAGAAGACAATGGTCTTGTGCTTAGGTGTTTCGGTGTGGAGAATGCGAAGAAGCTGTCGGATCTTGGTCGATGGAGCGTGCTTTGGCTTGGAGAAACCACTCATGCCTTCGAGCAGCCCACTCTGATCACTTTCGGCCCCATCATCCTCCGCAGAGTCGTCAGTCTCACTATCTTCCTCGGTCTCTTCTTCGTCACCAGACACTTCCGTGTCATCGTCAGAATCCACGACTTTCATCTTGCGAGCACGCGAAGGCGAATCGTTAATTTGAGAGTCGTCCTCGTCGCTCCTTTCGGAATCAATAGTGTCGAGCGTCTCACCGCCGCCCTCGTCGTCTTCGTCGCCATCGCTGTTATCCACGGGTGCCTTTCGAGCGTTGCGAGCATGCTTGCCAACAATCCACTCACCACCATCTTCCTCATCTTCATCATCGCTGTCGATGACTACTTTCCGGTTCCGCGCGCGACGTGGTTTAGGCTCGTCTTCAGCAACCCCGCTGTCGTCGACAGTCTTGCCAGGCTTGCTCTTCCGCTGCTTGCTCCTCAATTTCTTCTGCTTCTTGCCTGAGTTCTTGCCTTTCATAGCCTTGAGGTCCGCCTCGCATTCTGAGCAACGCACAGCTCCATCCCTGGACTCCGCAGCGGAGAGCTTGATCTGGCAGACATCGCAATTCTTGGTCTCGACACTAACACCACCCATGAGTGCAGTCAGTGCATCCATCTCGTCGCCTTCATTTTTGCCTGCTCGCTTCCCGTTTGGCAGACCTGTTGTCATTGCGTCTTTGTCCTTGGCCATCGCCATTTCGATGAGCTGTGGATGATCACACATCTGCCTCAGACGAAGCAGAAGGACGAGAGCACCAATGTAGTCTGCGTTGCCCTTGGCTTCCATCATCTGCTCGAGACGCTTGTCGGCGCGTGCTTGCAGGCGGTCGTAATATTCCTTCTCCACAGGATCGAATTGGCACTCAACGGTCATGACTTCACGCTTGACAATCTGCATGCTTCCATTCTTTGCCTCGCCATCTTCAGTCGTAGCAGACTTGCCACCGAAGTTCAGGGCGCCATCCTTCTTCAGAATGTCCTTCGTGCGTCGCTTCATGAAAGCTTTCAGAAAGACCTGAAGGCGATTCATCGCCAGACCTCCGCGCCCAGATTTCATTGGCTTGATGATCTGCTCTTTCCATCTCGGAAGCTCGCAGTAAGGCTTGATGCGCAGGAATTTGATGAGGGACTGCAATTCGTCTAAGTTGTTCTGCATGGGTGTGCCAGTCAAGCACCATCGGTACCAAGAGTTGAGCGCGCAGCACGCCAATGACGATTTCGCATTGCGATTCTTGATGCTGTGGGCTTCATCAAGCATCAGTCGATACCAGTGTACGCCGAAGCAGCCAACACGAGTGCCGTACTCTGAGTTCATGTTTGATCCAGCATGCTCAGACGTAAGCGTCTGGAACGTGGTGATGACCACGTCATACTTCTTCAGGTCGGCGCTGTTCTTGGTTCTGTTGGCGCCGTGATGGACAAGAACCTTCAGTGCGTGGCTCTTGTTGACCTTGCTCTTGATCTCGGACTCCCATTGCTTGATGAGCGCGAGAGGAGCAACAACGAGCGTGCCTTTTCCAACATCTTTGCCTGGTAGCTTTTGTCCCTTGAACTCTGGCTTCGCGTCGATCGCAGGTCGCGGATTCGTCAGCATGAGCGCGACAGATTGCACAGTCTTTCCCAGGCCCATGTCATCTGCCAGTATACCACCCTTGGGCAGGATTCCACGCGTCTTGGTCTTGCCAATCTCCTTGTCAATCATCCACGACACGCCCTCGACTTGATGCGGGAGCAGCTTGACCGCGAGTCCATCAACCGTGCCGTCTTCTTCTTCTTGTTCGTCTTCATCCTCTTCTTTCTTGGCCCCTTCCTCCTGCTTCACACCAAGCGCAGCAAGCTTGCTGGCCAGACTCTTAGTCTTGGTGTCCTCCTCTTGCAGCTTCTCCACCTTCTTGATGCGAGAACGGAGACGAGTCTTACCCTTCTCTGCCTCGTCGTCGAAAGCCGCTTCCAGCAATTTCTTCATGTCCTCGTCGGCGCGAGTCGAGTCCATATACATGTAAGGATCTATTGCGCCGAACTTGCCACTATTGGCTCGAATCTCTGCATCAGGATCAAAGTTCTCGCCATCGGAGCCATCATCATCATCAATAACGTGCGGCTGAGGTTTGGGTTGTGGGCGCGTCAAGTCAATTACCTGACGAGGCGGAACGAAGGTCGCGTAAGGGTTCATGTTGGCGGTTGACGAAGAGTATGTGGGTTGCTGGGGCGGGTAAATGGTTCGCGGCGGTGGATTTGTGGGTACAGATATGGGTGTCGCGCCGTGCTGCACGCTACTGAGTGGTTTGAATTGGCGAGCGTTGCCTGGAGGTCCCGATAAGGAGGAAGGTTTAGTAGTGCTTGACGAGGGTGCGCGTTCCGTCTGCACAGATGCTCTGTAGGAATCACTTGGAATGCGATTCTGCGTAGTCAGTGGTCGATTCTGGACAGGCGGTCGATTCTTGGGCATGAAAATGCTGGGCGACGATTTCTTGAGCGGATTGCGCAGAGGACTCGCTTTGCCGAATTCAACGTCTCCGGACTGCCTCTTCTCAGCCTTGTCGCTGTCGGTCGATTGCGCCTGCTTCTGGTTGGGAGACTGCATCTTGGCTGATATGCTACACAGCGGTCAGTCTTTGCCTTGGCCTTTACCCCATTCTCTTCTTGCTTACTTTGCTAGAGGCTGTCTATCCTTCTTTTGAGGTGATGAGAATTGTCCAGACGAGGTCCAACTCGGACTTCGCTCCCGAACCATAGCCTTCTCTAGATATTTCGGTGACGGAAGTGTATCGACAGGCTGGAACGCCTTGCGGCGAGTGGGCGAGGCAGTATATGGGCTGCAATACTCTACGCAGCAAAGATGTGCTGTACTCACGGCATCGAAGTTGAAGTCGAGCCTTCCTGGTTGCGCACAAAAGCCCAGACGTCACAGCTTCCATCCACTGTTTGACCGATTTTAGGCGGCAGCAGTCACGCGGGTTGCGTGGGGAAACAGCCGCGTCGCGTCGCGTCGCGCCGCGCCGCGCGTAGACCTCTTCACGCTTCCATCCACAGTCTTGTGAAAGACGTCGAGGTACTGTCGTGTTTCTATGCTCATCCCACACAAAGATGCCAGGCTACGCGATGCCTCATACCGGGACCTATATAAGCATGTCTTCCATGTGCCTTTCCTTGTGCACACTAATTCGGCCCACAAGCTGTTCTCGGTGTCTCTCAAGGTGTCATTCACGGGATCTCGTGCAAACGCGGATTTCGCGATCTGGACAACGACTATGTTCTATCTGGGGTGTTGAAGCTTAGACGGCAGGGAAAGAGCAAGTTGCAAAGAGTCGTGGTGGGTCCTTTTGAACGGAATCGCATACTTGACCCGGCCGATATCGAGCTGAGGGCAGAAAGCTGGGAAATGCGTTGTTACACGGAAGTGCGTCAAGAAGCTGTCAGGCTCTCACAGCATCAGGAGTGGAAGTTAGTATACCCAACGTGCTTCAACAAGACGGGTGAGGGAGATAGGTGTAATTCTCTGCGAGGCATGCATTTCGACTTTGAATAGGTCCCGTCTAATATACTGTAAGTGTGAAGCGAGCATTTTCAGACACACATGAGATAAAGAGACCGTAGGAGATCTCGAATTGGGACTATTCCATTCGTACACCATATTGGGCGTAGTTTTCAAGAACTTATGTCCAGCTAGCTTCACAAACATCGTCTCTCTAATCCAAATGTTGCGAAATAGCATGGAACGTGCCTTGTGATGGCGTATTTATCACCGCATTGGTGAAGGATGGCCCCCTACGAAAGCAAAGAGATGGCCGCGTGCCATTGTCAAGGAGCGATTCGCTAAACTGGGGGCCTAAGATGGCGATCCAAATCGGTCAATTTCCGTGTCCTCTAACAGGATTGCATACGAAATCTCCTTGAGGGAGTCTACACATCTGTGCAGGATTACGGATCTGGACCAAGACCGACGGCTTCGAGACTTTGTCTGAGATTGCTTACCGAAAGTCTGGGACAAAGGGAAGCATCCATTTCTGCACAAAGCGACATCAACATCTGCAACCCAAGATTATAAGGTGAATAGAGCATACACTTCAATGCTCAGAGACTCTGAGAGAGTGACGAGGCGAATGGAGATTTCACGCTTCATTCACTTCGCGCGCCAAGCCGTGAAGCTAGTGCCGGCAAGACCCGCGGTTTGCTCGTGACAACTCCCGAGCCTGCTTGCAAGCTCTTCCGCTGTCACATCGACATCCTCGAGATCGCACACGCGACATTTGTGCTGTATGCATATTGCACACCTACAATTTGTCGCCGCCAACAAACAAATCTCAAAGCGAAGTCGATATCATGGCTGACCACGCGTTCGTCCATGTTTTCGCGCTCGCCGCCATCGCCGCCGTGGTAGCGAACCAACACATCCCACAAGAACAGAAGAGTAGAGCATGGTATCTTGTGCTCGGATGCCTCTGCCTATTCCTCGTTCTTGAGGTCGCTATCCAGTCCTGGGCGCTCTATATGGGCGTCCAAAACGCATGGCTGACCGCACTCCAAATACTCGAGTCCTTCTGGACTATCATCAAGACATACCCTGCTACGGCGGGTCGCGATGACACACCGTTCTTCTATTCCTCGACCACAACATCTCGCCTCGACTTGTCCGATGCCCTCTTCGTCTTTCTCGTTGTCGCGGTGGCAGGCGCCGCAATCTGCGTCGGTCTCCTCAGCCTGGCGGAATGGTCTACCTCGCGAGTCTCATGCAACGTGAGCGCTGCACAACCTCATAATGCTGCCGAGCCGAGTTCCAATGCACTGCAGGAGGCTGTGGCCATCGATTTAGATGCGTCCGCAGATCAAACGGCATACCCAGTAGAAGGGCCCATCCGTTTCAATCGCGAGAACACATCCCAGACACCAGAAGAGGCGCCATCAGCTGTTAAGGAATCTGCATCGCCGTTCGCCCCAGCGCCCAAATCTGCTCAAGATCCTCGTTTCCACACCTGGCTCCGGAGAGTCGATATTCCCTGGAACACCAAATGCTATGCTTCAGCCGTTTTCTATGGTACAGGTATCTGGTGGCATCCAATTCTCGCGTGGAGAAGCAGGAAGACACCAAAGACCCAAAAGATGATAAAGGAGCAGGAGCAACGAATTGAAGACATTTTCAAAATGCGCCAACAACGTCCAGGCCTAGAGACGGATGCAAAGATTGCGCAGAAGTACGAACCATTCAACTGGCCAAAGAGAGGCCCACCAACTGATACGGATCGTAAGGAGCGCAAAACCTTCAAGAGCAAGACAAATAATGATAAGCCGCGCAAAGAGCCAAGAACGTCGAAGGAGGAGGCACACACAAATATGTCTAAGGCAGACTCTACCCGCGAATTCAAGGACAAGCCTTTGAATAGTCACAACACGGCTGAAGATGGCGGTAGCGTTCCACAATTCCAGAACCCTGAGCCTGCAGCACAATGCACTCCAGCTCCGATGTCCCTGGATGGAAAGTCTCCCTTAGATGAGAAGGCTGAAGACTCTGCTGCGCCAAAACAACAGCATGAAATACCTCTTGTCGACATCACGAAGGGTCTTGAGATCGCGCCTTCACGGCCAGAAGCACAGCGGACCGAGGATGCTGCAGTGATCTCCGCTAGTACCACTCACAGCGTCGAGAATAAGTCAGACCAGGTCGCTACTCCGGAATGCTCTGCTCTGCCAGAAATGGAGGATCAGAGCGACCAGAAAGCTGCCGTCGCTGTATCACAGATCTCTTCTGACATCAATCCAGCCCAGGAAGAATCAAACTTGAACCCCGAAGCCATCTCAAGAGCTTTGCCATTGACGCAAGACCATGAAGATACCACGAGCAATGTTGCGCCGCAGAAACTTCCTGTACTTTCGGATAGTGTCAAGCCAATGCCAATAAGCACGCCATCAGAGGAAGTGTCCGAACTTGAAGAATTGAAGGGATCAGAGCCGGCACAGGCTGTGCAAGAGCACCGGACCAACGAGAGTGAAGAGAGCGCTAGTGCAGTCGACAATGTCGCGTCAGCTCCGACGCGCAACGACAGATACGCAGGTGATATTGAGTCTGGTCTTCGATCAGCTGCGTCTTCCGGCGGAAGCGATGGCAGTCAAGGTGACCAGACGATGTCCCTCCCCCAGTATCAGGAAGCTCTTGTCGCTGCAGGCAGCGATGATACCCACGAAGACATCGATATGACCAACACAAACCCTGATAGCGAGTTCTCCAATGATGCCAGTGAGGAGCATCACACGTTCACATCTGGTGATGCAATGGACATCCTTCCTTCATCCAGCAATGGCCGAGACATTGAGGTCCAGGCTGGTATAATTCCGGTCGAGCATCAGATCGGAGGTGCACATGATAGCACTGCTGGAGATGTGATGACTATCCACCAGGGGCCTGTAGCACAGACAATGCCGGCTGCTCCATCTCCTGCCCAGAATCTAGAGTCTCATTCCGAGGAGCAGCTTGCCAACAATGATGCTATGGATGAGGACGAGGACATGATCGAAGTGCCGTCTCAAGACACAAATCAGTCGACCCACGCCGTTCAGAACGACTCGCAGCCGAGCACTCTTGTTCCAACGCCTGCTTTTACGCATGCGCCCCAGTCTTCTCTCTTCAATGAGCCTATGCAGATGAGCTTGCGCGGCAGTAATGCTTTCAGCGGCTCAGGTGCTGCTCAACAGTATTCTACAGCGCCAATATTCAAAGCAGCACATCAGGCACCGCCACAGGGAGTATTCGCATTCGACGGTCCTCCTCTGCCCTCTCAATTCTCCTTCGAAACTATTGGCCTGCCTCCGGCCTTTGGCGCGGGACCCGCTGTCGAAAATGTTCCAAATTCTGTGAACTTCTTTCCGCCATCTGGAGCTCCTCCTGTTACGTTCGGCAGTGCAAGTATCAATAACACTCCTGAATCAACACTCGGCACTACTCAGGCCCATCCTCAGCGAAGAGCGGCTAGGAGTGGACAGCAAAGCTTCGGTGTGCACTCCACAGCGTTTACTACTGCACAATGGCCGGTGCCAGCAGAGACGAAGAAGTCTGTGACATTCGAGGCCGCGCCATTTGGTCGTGTGCAAGCTTTCGGTAACAACGCCTTCCCTGCGACACAGCAAATGTTCAGCTTTGGTACAGAGCAAAGCACTAGCAAGACAACCACCAACGGGGGGCAGCAGCCTGTGTCTTCGAATGCGCTCCTGCAGAATGTCCAGATGCCTATCGGCACTGCCGGGCCTCAAAGCACGGCTTTCCAGAGTACGGCCATGCAGAGTGCACCTCTGCTTGGTGCAAATGACAATTCCAAACAGGTGGCGACAGTAGCGTCTCAAATCGACTCTGTGGCTCAGCAGCCGGGGAATCCTTTGAAGACCCAGCAAGTATCTGGTAGCGGCAACCAGCATGACCAGTCTCCTAAGCCCACAGCCGAAGATTCGAATCTATTTACGAGCACTCAGGGCGCTGTGAAAGCTCCAGCTATCTCCAGTAGTCACGAGCCGGACGAGTCCTCAAACAATCAGGCGTCTTCAGCTCCTGAATATGCTCCAGTGGACTCTGAAGCCTTTGCATTGTCCTTGCGTCCAATTCTGAAGGCTGGAGGCGCTCGCTCTGCTGCTCGACGAAAGCCTACACAGTCTACGCCATTTGCCAACCTCCCGAGTCCGAGGAAGCGCAATCGAGAAGACGACGTTGAACGTGATCGTGAAGCTGAAGCTGAAGCTGAAGAACCAGAGCTTACACGTCATCGAGAAGAAAATCCAATCAAGGCCGATCTGGGAACTGCTGAGTTTGAGGCTCAAGATGTCCTGCTCGAATATACTGTTCCTTTCGATTATAAGCTCCAAGTGGCGAAAGAACGCATGGCGAAATGGCAGACGAATCTTCAGGCGATGCAGTTGAATGGAAATACCTCTGGCGGAGTTCTATCGACGCTGGTAGAGTACGCGAAAGAAGCCGATTGTTGCCTGGAATTCTTCGAAACCGAAGAGGGAAAATGGCACGAACCGACTCAGAAGACCACCGCGGATGAGAAGCTTACCGTCGAACAGCTGAATGCCCTTGTGCAATGTAGCATTTACGCCAACAGCATGACTGACAACATGCATCTTCCGAGTTTAGACATCCAGTCCGCCGCCTCAGAACTGTTCCGCAAGCTGGAAAAACTCCATACAAAGTTGGAGGCCAAGCGCGAAGAGTGGGTTAAGTTGGAACGTCGCCACAAATATCAGCCTCCAGAGGCCATTGCCGGTATACCTGATCAGATTCGAAGAGATGTTCTCCAGCTTTGCAACGCTCTGCCCAACGAGAATGGGACGGCCATGAACGTGCAGGAGGAGTTGAAGAAGGAATCCAGCATCGCTACAGGTGTTGTTAACTTGGTCAACGGCCATTTGGACAACCTCGAATCTTTCTTCGACGGAAGTACGGAGGAGCGAAGCTATGCAGTCAACAGCACGTTTGGGAAACACTTGCTTGAGCGCCTGAAGGAGATAGAAGCCGCATTGAAACCACTTGTCGTCGTGGAGAAAGACAGTGCGACCACTCCAAAGAATGGACTGGAAAGGTTGTGGTCCAGAATTAGGAATGGGAAGGTCGCGGCACCCTTGGTTGCTGTGTATGGGAATTTTTGGGAGAGTCAGGCGCGACTGGAGCAATCTCAGGACGAGGGAACTCAAGACGCCCTCGGAGACTCTCAAGCGCTCCAAGGAAAAGTGCTCGCACAGTCTGCGACCCCTTCGACACTCGCAGCGACCCATGCGATAGCAACGGCGACGTCGCAGCCCACATACCGGCAGGCTTCAACGATCCCCGCTACAAATGCTACGCCTCTTGGACTTTCAACTCGAAGCCATCAGGGCTCTTACGTCCCAAAGGTGCCGTCAAGAAACAATTCGGAGCTCTCTCCCGAAAAGGCTGATCAGGGGCTATATCCTTCTGAAAAGTCAAATCCCCTGAAGTCGATGGAAGATGATCCCGCAAAAAAGCTCATGAGAAGATGGCTTGATGCTTCTGAGAAGGAATTCATCGATCTGGAACACTCACCTCGCCTGGAGAACACAAAGGCTGCCGTTGAGCAGCTGCGAGTTCGGCTGAAGCACATCAATGAGAAGTTCGTGAAGGATCGATACTCCTGGAAGACGAATGTCATTAATCGCGACGACAGCCAATACTGCCAAGATAAGGTGAAAGCCATCACCCCTCGACTGAAATGGACCATCGAAGTGATGGGAGATGATGGTCGCTCGTCTTGTGATTTTAAGGAAGCACAAGATCTGTGCGACATTCTCTTGAAAGCCCTCAGATTGAGCAGGTCCCAGCAGAACTGCGTCACTATCATGAGAGAATTTAGGCAGTTTGTTGACGACAACATCGCTCCTCTGCGAGACTCGGGAAAGACCATTGCAGATGACGAGGCCGAAGAACTGAGAACAATTTGGGGAGAATTCTCATTCGTGTGCAACAGCATCAAGGAAATCATAGACCGTATTGACGACAAGGCCGAATCGTGGAAGGTCTTGGCCGATAGCCAGTATGGATATTGCTTGCTCAAAACCTTGAACGCCGAGCTCTTACCGGCCCTCATGGCTGTGATGGATCCTGTCCAGGAAAAGCTTGAATTCCATGTTTCGTTGCTGGAGGACCTGGAGAAATTGAGGGCCGATCTTCAGTCACGTCATGGCTCTGGTTGACTCTGAGCCGCACCAGAAGCATTTGAAAGATCTCACGAGCTGTGAAAACTTGGCTACTGCAATCAAAGGCGGTAAGACCAAAGCATCCGTGTAGTGAGGTCTCTGCATCTGAAAAACAAGCCCTGAGGGCCTGGACGCATGACATTGAAGAGGTCCCAAGAGCTGCGCAAACTCTGCTAAAAGCGATCAGATGTTTAAATCATTCATGTCAAGGAGTCTCATGCCGGTGGAGGGAGATCTGTAGAAAGGACGGATGCTGAGATGGTCAATGTAAGAGGATGCGAGTTGAAGCTGCGTCTCTGACTTGGACTCGCTACCCACATGTATGGGCAAGCAGAGTCAGTCTGATGGCTGCAGTCGGAATGCATCGGAGGAAGTGCTTTTTGAGACTGGCAGTGGTATTAGACATCTATGCAAGCTGTTACGTGAAGATCAAAAATTGACATTCGCAGTGACTCTTCATATGGCTTTCTTGCTCCAATCTCATAGCTTCAGCTAGCTGACACCCCAGGCCGGCTCCTGGCGCCAGCCAAAGAGCTCGGAAGTGAATGGCCTTTCACAAGCCCGAAAGTCATGTGACTTGCATGACAGTGCAAGCTCTTGCGATCAATTTTGGACGCTGTCTGGGGCCAGTTGGTAGTTCTTCTTCAAGGTCTACTACACTTTTTATTACATGAGCGAGATCGCTTCGAGGAAATGGAGCATCGAAAGTCAACTTACTACACTTTTTGAAGGCATTGACGGCGATGCAGCTCATCTTATATCAAGGGTCCTAAGAGTGAACCCGCGAGCTTGAAGGCTACTCTCGATGTGTGCCATGTTCCTTGCGTATAGGCTTCTCTGCATTGACTGCTGTCTCTCTCTGGACCAATACTTTCTTCAACAGTAACTCCACATTTTCTCTTATCTCCTTCCCCTTGGCTGTCAACGTCTTGTGCGCATCTTTGCTCAGAGTAATAAGCAGAGCTCCGCTAAGCCGTCCTCGGCGCTCAGCTTGATCATAGACATTCGGTGCTTCTTCGCTATGTCCTTGTCCTTTCGCCAAAAGGTTTCCATCATCACTGTATCCCTCGTTCTCCAAAGCAGCCCTAAAAGCTCGTCGAACCTTCTTCTCGACCAAGTGCCTGTACGTTGACTTCTTGCTCACGCTTACCGGGCATCGCACTACCCAGATGAAAGATTTTGGATCGAAGGCTTTGAAGCGCCTACGAATCTCAATGCTTTTCGGGTTATATTGATCGGACGCGAAGATTTTGGTCTGGAGGAACGTCGTGACGTTTATCGGCTTTGGGAAAGGTTCGTACATGTGGCTCATGATTGAATATTGTCCACGCATAATCGGGATATTAGTCCTCTGACTTCTTTTTCCTCCATCTGGAGCACCGCCTGCAACATCAACGGATGTGTTGGGGAAGACTTTTCCTGCATGCTTGCTGAATGGTTGTCTTGTGCCAGGTATGGTCTTCGGGGCAGAATTCTCAATAACTCCTTCAGCGTTGCCATCCTCAAGCTTGGAGCCATCTACAGCTCGATGTTTCAAGTCTTTTCTTTTCTCGCGAGAGCTTCCCACAGCGCGTCTATCAATGCGCTCCGGATTTGCTTGGTGAGCTCTGCCGTCGCGGTGGCTTCTTACATCCTCATGTATGATGTTAGATTTCGAGCGCTCTGTTGCTGGCGCTGTGGCAGAAGAAGTGGTGTATGGTGATGAACACGGGCATGCTGTCGGAAAATAGCCTCCTGGTAGTCGTGCAGTATGCAAAGCCGCTCTCCTTGCTGCCGCTACATTCTGCATGAAAAATCGCTTCCACTCTTCACGGCCACGACAGATTGCTGCATATGCACTCCGCTTGTTTGGCCCGCTTCCTGTGATGGAGTTCACCACCTTCACTCATGCACACTCCAGCTCGCGCATGTGAAGGATTAGTCCGTACCGGTATCGGTATCGGTATCGGTAAACGGGCCGCGCGGGATGTGCTGGCCCGTGATTCGGCAAGGGTCTGCGCTTCCCGCTTTCTGCGTCACACCCCGCTATATTCTAAAGCCCTTAACAAACAACACCTCCTCACAACACCCACACACACAACAAAGCCGCGCGAATACATCAACGTCAAGCTAAGGGGGAAAGCGCAGCAGTTCCACTCAAAGATCCCGCGACACTGCTCTGCTTCACTTACGCCCTCACATACGCTTGCCGGACTGCCCACCAGATAATCACTTCCAAGCTTTCAGGAGACACTGAAGATGGTAAGTACACTTCCTAACGCTGCTATACCATGCGCTGACAACCAAACCGCCCAAGAATAAGGGCAAGGTGCGTGGCATCGTTTTCGCCGTCAAAAACGACCTACAGTAGAGTCGGCGCGCCAAATTACTGACACAACAACGTATAGGGCGGCAAGAACCGACGTCGTGGAAAGAACGAGAACGATAACGAGAAGCGTGAGCTCACTTTCAAAGAAGAGGGCCAAGGTACAACTCCGTCTCCGTCAGACGTCGCATACCATGCTCCCCATGTTAACTCCCGACGCTTTTAGAATACGCTCAGGTCCTGAAGATGCTTGGAAACGGACGACTCGAGGCCTACTGTTTCGATGGCGCCAAACGCCTCGCTCATATTCGTGGCAAGCTGCGGAAGAAGGTCTGGATCAACCAGGGAGATATCATTCTGCTCTCTCTGCGTGATTACCAGGACGAGAAGGGCGACGTCATCCTCAAGTACTCAGCCGACGAGGCTCGTTCTTTGAAGGCGTACGGCGAGCTGCCAGATAGCGCCAAGATCAACGAGACGGATACATATGGCGGTGATGAGGAGGGAGGCATCGGCTTTGATTTCGGCGAGGAGAGCGACGACGAGAGCGGATCCGACGTTGACGTGGACAACATCTAAACCGCGCATCTTGTCATGCGTCCTGGTACCGATATTACGGGTGGGTGCTTCGAGGCCGCGTGTGGATGGAGCAGATACGGAAGTGCTCTAGCATGGCACGAACATCACGACACAGTGGAGCAGGACTCCAAAGTTCTTCAAGACCACTGCTTATCGTCATGCATTCACTGTGCGTTGGCAATGCCAGCCACGCTTCACATATTTTGAACCACGCATAGAATGGGTATACATGATTGAAATTCCATTTCTCCGCCCAATGGTCCACTGTGCTCTATTAGAGTGGCTGCAATTCGATCGGAATTCGATCACAATTCATACACGCCGTTCGTGCCGTTTGCTGCAACAATTTCGACACTGGCGTAGGGCCAACTAGCGGTCGATCCATTGAGTTTGTCCACGTGCGGTCGCCGTTCCTGACTTTCTTGGCATTTTACGTATGCCGGTTCACAGCTCAGAGCTGCATACCACGACATCACCGACACAGGCACCGACATTGTGCCATATTGTCGCCCAATTGTCCTGCATCAGCGGGCGGAAAGACAAAAGACTGGACGCTGGATCCTTTCACTAGGCAGACAGCACCGCAGTGGCACAGCCGAGTGACTTCAAAGGACTTGACTCACGCAGCTCCGCTCCGCCTTACGACGCCGTCGCCCGACTTCCGGCATTGCCTTCAGCGCCTCAGCATACGACATACGGCCTGAAGCGCTTTCTACCATTCCAGCTGCATACACCGTCTTGCACAACGACTTTTACTTGTAGTTGCCCGCATTTGCGACTAGACCGCCAAAATGCCTTCGATATTGAACGAAGAGGACAAACAGACTGTCAAGCGCACAGTGCCTAAGTCTGCGAACAAGATCCATGCAGTCGCTGTCGCAAAGCTGTATGTCGCATACCCAAACCGGAACAAATGGACATATACAGGCATGCAGGGCGCTGCCGTGCTCGCCAACGACTTGGTGGGCAATACGTTCTGGCTCAAGATGGTAGATGTGTCGCCCTCGAATAGAGGCGTAGTCTGGGACCAGGAGATTTACGACACCTTCCAATACAACCAGGACCGGACATTCTTCCACACCTTCGAGCTCGAGGATTGTCTGGCGGGTTTGAGCTTTGCAGACGAGAAAGAGGCAAAGCAGTTCAAGAAGAAGATGGACGAGCGGGAGAAGAATGCGCACAAGAACACAAGGAGCAAGCCTTTCGCTAGTGGACCAGCGCAACATGTGGGCGCTTATCACCAACAGGCAGCGGCGCCAGAGGGCAAGAAGAGCAGATTGGGTGGTTTATTCAGCAGTCATAAGCATTCGGCACCGCAAGGTCCGCCTCAGAGCATCATTCCGCCTCGAGGAGTTGAGATCCATTCGCCTGCGCAGAACAGTCCTAGCAGGAGTCGAGCTATAAGCGATATCGATCTCAACGATCCCGCCGTGCAAGCCGTGCTTCAGGATTTGCTGCAGATGGGCATTACGGAAGACCAGATCCATGAACACTCTGCTTTCATTAAGAGCTATCTGGAACAGAACAAGGCTACGCAGGCTGCGCAGGCTGAGGAACAGCAACGAGCCGCAAGAGCTCCCCCACCACCTCCACCTGTAGCAGACGCTGCAAGAGTCAGCCCACAGCATACCGGAAGTACAGGACGAGGACCTCCGCCTGCTCCGCCGCCATCTAGAAGGAAGGCTGGCGCTCCAGCAGTGCAGAGGCTTCCAAGTCCTAGCCCAAGCCCGCCCAGAGAGCCATCGCCACCACGACCACGATTCCGAGTGCCGCCTCCTCTTGAGAACGCAGGTGCGAAAGCACACACTCCTTTGCCTGGACGTAATAGAGCTACAAGCCAGAGCAACCCAGGCCCGCCTCCTCCTCCACGACCACCGAAAGTGCCTGATGATGACACGCCACAATCTTCGCCTGGGTTTAGGGTGCCGCCTCCGTTCGAAGGCAGACGTATTGCTTCTAATCCAGCTCCCGCGCCTCCGCCCAGGTCCGGAGGAGTGCCACCTCCTCCTCCGCCACGAGAATCGGCAGCACCACCAGCAGCGGTTCCTCCTCCTCCGCCTCCCAGACAATCGCCCGCTCCTGCTCAATCTGGCTTTAGCGATTCTGGACCTCCCCCTCCTCCCCCATTGCCGCCAAGCTCATCAAGACCTGTTCCTTCTGCCCCAAATGGCGGACCACCTCCCGCGCCTCCTCTTCCGCCTCCCAGCTCATCGGGACCTCCACCCCCTCCTCCTTTACCACCGACATCGAACTCAGCTCCTCCACCCCCTCCTCCTTTACCACCGACATCGAACTCAGCTCCTCCGCCTCCTCCGCCACCCATGCCACCGCCGCGCGCAGCAGAAACAGGAGTCGGCGCCGACACCGCCGCTGCCGTTCCGAAGCAAGCCGTTCCCGGACGCGATGGTCTTCTGGCAGACATTCGTGGCGGAGCAAGACTCAAAAAAGTGTCGGATTCAGAGAAGAGAGATCGCAGTGCTGCGATGGTTCCAGGCGGCGAAGCTGCAGCTCCTCCGCCTCCTAGCGCGAGCGGGGCCAGTGGAGGCGGCGATGCACAAGGAGGCCTTGCTGGTGCTCTGGCCAGTGCTCTTGCTGCGAGGAAGAGCAAAGTCAGTCACTCTGGTAAGTTTTGTCCTTCCACTTGTGCTTACTTCCGAATAAAATATTTACTGACACACTCTCGCAGATGATGAAAAGGACGATGATGATTGGTAGAAGCGATGATCTGGTATCGGAACGTCAGAAGAAAGAGACATTGACCTCTTGTCCACCGCGAGCTAATGCAGTTCTACAAAATATGCGACTCGTGCTCAACACCGATTGCATCGATCGCTCGCGTAGACGACCACGATTATTGTATATATCTCTTGAATCGTTCCGACGACCTAAATACATCACTTCTTACCCATATATGCTTCCGAATGATGGACATAATGTGGAACCTGTACAAAAGCTAATTTAGTGTTTAACACCGGGACTAACCAGTGGCCCATAGGTTCTAGCAATCACATATATATATTCTGGAACTGTGCTGCGCAATAGCTCAACGGTTTCGTGTATCTTGGACAAGCAACGCGTTGGAGGAATACGCTGTGAGTCTGTGCGATTAGTTCATCTCAGTTCACCAATTCTGTCTTATACTGACACGGCCGGCCGGTATAGAGAACGCGTGCGGTGGGATGGACAAAAAATACATGCTCATCCACAATGAAAGATCATCTGGTCAAGTCAATGATCTTTCCCTGTATCACCACTATTCACTAATCGTGCGTGTCGCGCGGATTTCGTAATAGCCAACCAACGCCACCAGGGTGACGTTCGAGATCTACATATCCCTGCGCGATCTACCGCGATGTCTACGACTGCGAGGGGCGCGCAAATCATCACCAGACATCGAGCTGTCCTCCTCATCACGGCTGGCGTCGCTCGCAGAATCCTCTGGCTCGAAATCCTCGTCTTCTGCTGGGTCAGCAGACAGCTTGCCATCGAGTATGTTATACCCGTAGAGTCGCTGTTCTGCATTTTCAAACATGTCGACCTCGACCTCGTCCGCTGCAGCTGTCGCTTCCCGAGCCCTGAGACTCTCTCCTACGCCCTCCTCTTCTATGTCATCCAGATGTGGTGTTTGGGCAGAAGGCCCCGGAGCGGTGTATCCTCTAAGTCTCTTTTTGCTGTTGAGAGACTTCTTAGCGACTGCTCTATGACCCTTGCGAGGAGTGGCATCTATGCCATCATTACTGCTCCTGCCATCCTCGCTTGCATCGGAAGTCACCTTTCGAGCTCGCACATTGCCGTGATTGTCTTCGATTTGTTCGACATCATAGAAGTCATGGACCAGATTCGAGTTGCGCACGCGTGGTGCTGCTTTCTTTTGAGTCTTGCCACCAAGCTGCTCATCCGGGAACATGGGTCCGTAGTCGAAGAAAAGCTCCTCTCCCGGCTTCACTTTTCGCTGTCCGTAGAGCGCGATTCGAAAGACGGTGTTGACCATGATAATCCGAGGGTATATATTGCATTTCGACTTGTCCGCATGGTTGATGAAACGAATCTTGTTGCCAAAATATGTGCTGTCGATCTCCTGGGTGTCGTTGAGACTGAAGAGGTAACTGAGTTTCTGGTGCTCATAAACCGCGCCTCGCCGTTCAGCTTCGGCCTTGTTGATGATCTCGCCCTTGTACTCACCCAAGAACTCGTGCGGGCGGATGTCCTCGCAAGTGTACAGCCCTAGCCCGTGGATGCCACTGTCGCCAATCATGGTATGCTTTGCAACTCCACGCTGGATGCTTGCGTTTCGGCACTGTCCTCGTAGCTCGCGATATTTGTGAACAGGATCGAGGACGGAGCACACTCCACACGCTCCACATAGGTCGGGGTCGCACTCTCGTCCTCGTTGAAAGCACGCGCAACGGTCATCATCAAAGCAAACGAGCTTGTGGCTCCGACCGGCCTTCTCTGAGGAACAAGAGCAGCCTTGGAACTTTCGCGGGCATGTTTTGGAGCAGCTGCAGCTCTTCTCGCACATGATATGTTCGACGAAACAAGAGCATGCAGCGCTTTCGCAGGACAGTCCAGGATGGTGGCAAGGATAGAAAGGCTTTCGTTCTGTCGCTTGCCACTTCAAGCTGGACCACTGACCTTTGCTCCAGTAATCGAGGCTTTGACGATCCACATTCTTCGTGACTGTGTGCTCGTTCTGGTCAATTTCCGGTGGCAGACAGACTCTGGCGCGGATGTCGATATCACGTGGGTTTATGATGTCCGTCGCCACGACCCCCTCCTCATCAGCATTGTCTTCATCATCGCTTTCTTCGATCTCGCCATGATAGGGGCAATTGAATCGCATGCAGATTCTGCAGGTCAACTGGTCGTCTGTCTCGCTCTCCTCCGTCTCCTCCAGAAGATTCCGAGTGTAGTCACTTCTTCTGGCGACGTGCCACAGGGGAAACTTGGCAATTCTCTGGAACTGGTCGCAGAGCAGCGCCGCTTTGCCCACGGCGTCGGCTTTTGGTCCAGGCAGTTTTGTCCGGACGAGGAACCAGCGATGGCTGTCTCGATCGAAGTCTTCCTCGCAATACTTGTGCCTATTCTGAACCGCCTTTTGAGCATCTGGCAACGCTCCAACGTGCGGATAGGCCTCCAGCAAGAACGACAGTACATCTGGCCAGTCACATCCAATTTGTGACAGCATGTCTTGTGCATATGCGGCAAAATTTTCGGCTTGACCCAAACGCAATAATTTGCGCTCTCGAGGTTCAATGTCCAAACAGTAATTGATCTTGAGCCCCTTCGCGTCATCCAAGTCGAAATCGTCGCCGAAGTAGGGCCAATTCTGCAGAGTCTTATTGTTTGCTGCAAGGAAATTGTTTTTGATGCTGACATAGTGCGAGTAAGGAGGCACGTCCGCTGCCTTTGTCGTGAACATGTCACATTCCAGAGCGTAGGAGGGTTTTGCAGTCTTCGATGTGGCGCAAGGGAATTGCTCCACGCAAATTCTAGCAGTGTTGGACTGCGGAGTGTTTTTCTCCGTGACCACGTTCAGCCGAATTGGCGGCAATGATTTAAACACTGACGTTGGCTCCGACCCAACGGATGACAGATTGCTTGCATTATGACGAGCTCTGCGAAGTTCTATGCGTGTCCAATGCTCATTGTCCTTGCGCAGTTCTTCGAAGTGTCGTCCCACAACGAGTTCGATGTGCTTGGCGATGCCAGCTCCAGCGAAAGCAGGCATAGGGCTCTTCAGCGCAGGCGACGCCGATTGAATGAATATACCGCTGTCCTGATTTGAGGATGCTGTATTCTTGTCCAAACCGGGTCCCTGCGCTCCTCCGTCCAAGATGGTATTCTGAAGACATGGCTTTTCTTTGGTTTTCCCTGGTGTCGGCCCAGACGATGCTTCTTGGCGCTTTGGCGCAATCGTGTCAGCAGCATGCCGACTTTGATTTCGTTTGTGGAAAGAGCTGGAGCTGAAGGGCTTTTCTTGGATCTGAGTTCTGCCATGTTCGGCAGCGCTGTTATTTGTGGACTGTACGTCCTTCTCCGCCGCTGTTAGTGCTCTTGATACTGAAGTGGCTCTGGAACCAGCACGTGGCGCAGGAGTACCGGCCTGCGAGGTCCCAACCTGATACGAAGTAGTCTTTTGCTTTGGCGTAAGCGAAGCGGCTTGATCGAAACTTGACAACGCATTACTGGCTTTGGAGCCAAGTGACCCGTACGTAGTGTCTTCGTCCGAGGTCGGTACGTCCGGGAGCGACGGTGATGAACTTCTGCGAGCGTTCGTGAACGAGGATTCTATGCGCGCGCTGCCAGATACATTATTGAGTGTCGAGTCTCTAGAGTGACCCACGATCTGCCGCTTTGGAATGTGTTTCCCGTGCGGAGAATGGGGGTTGCGACTGAACGATCCACCCGAATGAGGCAAAGGCGGTCGATCAACACCTATAGGCGACAAAGGTGGACTTTCTGGTATCTCCAGGGGATGAGAAGGCTGAGATTCGGCCATTTTTTCTTCAGAGCGCATGGCCTGGCCAAGGACCTTGAACGGTTCAGAGATTGTCGAGGCTTTGGGGTGCTTTGGAGATGGAGGATGGACTCGCGCGCGGCCCGGACCATCGGGCGCTGCTGAAGAAGTTGCCTGGCTCGCAGAGTTCTTCGCGCGTCCACTTGCTGCCAACAGACCATGAGCTTGTTTGCCGTTGCTGACAGCCTGAGCACTCATCTGGGACCCTTGTTCTTCCTGTAGCGGTTGACGCGATCCTGGACCTGAGGAAAGCTGCTGAATTTGAGATGGTCCACTCGTCTTCGGACTTTCCGGTTCTGGTGACTCTGTTAGGTCAATGATCCTGGACGGCCCTGCATTCGTCGATACTGATTTTATGCCATGCTGTCTTCGATATGTCGAAGTGAGGCCTGACTGACTCGCAGGCTGCAAAGTTTTGAAGGCAAGCCGCATCCTTTTCTGAGGCGCGGTAGATGAAGCATCGTCCTCTCGTGCTCGCTTTTGGCCGTGAAAAAGCGACTGAGTATGCGATGCACCAGATTCTTGCTTCGCTATTCGTGGCGCGAGGGCCTGTTGAGACTGTACCGATGACTGAGTAGATTGTGACTCTGCTCTAGAGCCATGTAGTCCGTTACTTGTCCTAAACTGTTTTGAGCCATCACGCGTCAGATGATCCCTCTGGCTCAGATCCACTCGAGCTTGGCCTTGTCGCTGGCTCTGACTTGCATCGGGCCTGGTACTGATTTTGGGCGCCAGAGCACGGCGTCCTTGGGATGAATTGGAAGAGGCACCGCTTGGCCGATCCGATCGAAGGAAACTGGCCGGCTGTGGGTTTCTCGCTGCTGTTCCGCGGGCGTTGACTGCAGACGAAGACGAGGGCTGTCGACTCGGCGCTATTCTCTGCTGAAGTCTCGGTGGTTGCCGTGCTGGAGCAGGCACGTCGTCGTCATCCAAGAGATTGATGACAACACGTGGTGATGGCGGCATATCGCCCGTCGCAGGCTCCGCGATAGGCAGATGGCTCCACCACGTCCTTTGCAGACAATCACGCCCTTCTTGGCCGCCGGAAGTGCCCTGTGGACAGTCGCCGCCAAACCCGAGACGCGCGCGGTCTCAACATGGATGACAAATAAAGAACCATTCGATGTATTGTCCCTAAGCCGGCACATGCGAATCAGCAAACAATCTTCTCTATTATGTGCTTCCTTCAGGGAGTGTTTTACTGTGCCAAAGCCTAAATGGCTGGAAAGCATTGATCGCACTTTCCTTGAACGCGTTTCCAATTCTGGTCGAACGAACGCGCGTGCAGCTTCTGCACTTCTTGTCAGCCTTTCCTACACATTCAGCTGCTTTGCGCCGGATTCCACCTCCAAATATTGTCGCCAGGACAGTCGTGGTGGAGCATCTGCGCGTTGACGTGAGGTTATTGTCCACAATGCAACGCGTAGAGTCATGGGCAAAAGTCGTTGTGCGGGACCAAACATTTGACTTCCACGCTACTTCACATTGATCTTTCTCTCACTCACAAAACACTTATTAAGCAGACTCTAGAACCTTCACATAATCGACTTGAGTCACTTGGGAGCCTTTGCTCCCCACACGAGCCACCGATCCATGACCTGGCAGGCGCTCAACATCTGTTTCAGTTGACCATTGAAGCTGACTGAGTGGTCACGTTTGAAGAGGAATAATAGGGTATTTGATCTTGATACATTCTCTCAAAGGACGAGCAACAAAAGATACCAGTCGAAGATTCCTTCCTGCCCATTCGTCTCACCGCCATCGCCACCGTAGAAGTCACACCGTCCCGTGCTGCTGAAGAAAGCCGATTCGTCGACTTTCACATAATTCTAATAGAGGGGTCGATGCCGGAGCCAAAAGACTCGGAAGCATAGACAAAACAGAGGTCCAGCCAGGTGCTTGTGGTATTGATTGCTGTATTGTAACATGCGCCTCGCAAACGCCAAATCCAGTGGTATCCATAACCTCGCCCGCGCTTTTGAGCCATGCCTTCGAACTGCCAACATTGACACAGCTCGCGGCATGGTCGTCGTCAAAATAAGACCGTGTCATGCGTGCTGTTGCGGCCCACTCCCACACCTGATATTGCTACACAGCGTGCATTCCCAAGAGCTCGGTGTGTATGGTCATGCATAGCCTGGGTCGTTTTGCACCTTGGCTTATATTAAACCGCACATGCGCAAGTTCTCCTGGATGATGATGTCGTTTACTGCGGCCATGACGAATCGTATTTGCATGGTGTCTGTAGCGCAGGTGAAGTGGGTGTAGATCTGCTTGGTCGGGTGTTGATTGAGCCTGGGAGTGGTTAGTTCATCTGCATGTCTGCTAGCAGTCTATCGAGACTTACGATACGAATCGGTTCAGAATATAATCGCAAGCGGCACCGTAGTCCTGGCCGCCTTCATAGTCGGGGAAGTAGTTCTTCATCGGCGAGACTGGCAGCTTCTCCTTGAAGCGGTCAATCTTGTTCAAGAACAGAATGATGCTGGTCTTTGTGAACCATCTGCTGTTGCAGATAGAGTCGAACAATGTGAGCGCCTCTTGCATGCGGTTCACGGTCTCGTCTTCGAAGAGAAGCTGGTCGTATTCCGAGATTGCAACCAAGAACAGAATGGTAGTCACGTTCTCGAAGCAATGTATCCACTTCTTTCGCTCGGATCGCTGACCGCCGACGTCAAACATCCGGTAGGTCAAATCGCCAATGATAAATGTGGTTTCCGTGATGCCCGTTGTCTTGACACGCGATCGTAGTACGTCCTGATCTGATGGAATGTACGTGGGCGAAGCAATCGTATCAATCGAGTCGAAGTAGTATTTGGCAGAGTCGTTGAGCTGGTACTCTCGACTCCTTTGAAAGGCGGCCTGCACGCCGACATCTGCCCATAGCGTCTTGATGGCTTGTCCAACCTCGGGAGGAAGGACATCTCCCTCAATCTGCGCGGGCTGCATGAAAATGGTCTGGACATGGTACTCGGCGCGCTGATCATCGAGCGGAAGCTCCAGACTCTCCATGGCTTCCAGAATGACGCGCATTGACTGCACAGTGTTGGAAAAGATTATCTCCCTGAAGCTCTCGCGCTCATCTCTTGAATATCCGCCCTCGTGGATGAGCTTCATCTGCTTGAGGATTGTCGACTTTCCCGATTCACCAGCACCCAACAACAGCATCTTGATCTCGTTTCGCAGGTTCATTTTGTCCCGCTTCAGCTGGTTTTCGATCTCTTCATTTCGCTGCTTGCCCTCCTTGGACTCTGAACTCTGCCCGCAACCCATCCTGACGGTCGTATGCGCGGCTAGTGCGCGCGATTAATGTGAGAAAGGATAAGTGTTTAGAGCCGGTCGGATGCCGATGTGGTTGGTTTACCGGTAAGTTTCGGGAGACGTGGTATTAAAGAGAGCGAACGTCAAGGGCCGAGCGTTTGCGCTGCAGCCAATTGTCAGTGTCGGAACGGTATGGTATGCAGATGAGCCCGAAATGGATGGTGAATGCACGTGTGAGGATGTTGTTTGCCGCTGAAGTGCGACGGGTGCGGCACCGTTTGTGAAGCGGACGCGAACGCGGACGCGGACGATTGTTCGACTGTCGCGATGGTGGAAAGGAGTGGCAATTGGGCGTGGTCCGTGGGAACAGGACTTTGTAATTGGCGATGCGCGTTAGCCAGACAGCAGCTCGTCCGGCAGCAGGAAGAGCGGAGCTGTCTCGGCTGGAAGCCTCGAGCGAGGTGTGCAGAGTAGAGCAGTCAGAATGCCACTCACCTAGGGATTGAACGCTGGCGTGAAGGGCGTTCGCAGTCGCCTGCGTGCAGAACTCAATTGTGGGCGTGGTGTTGCGCTCCTCAGGCTCTGTTGCTCCTGAGATGGAAGGGTGGCGCCGAGCAGGGAAATGGTGGCAGGGGGTACCGTAGCGGAACAAGCGAGCAGGACGGCGAGGGTCGGTCACGCTCTTGGCGCCGGGCGAGGTTTGCTGGCGACGTCGAGAGCCGCAACAGTGGCGGAGGAAGCAGAGAGTGCGGTGAGAAAGGCAGCAAGGTGTGTGGTGTCAATGTGGTGTGTGGTTTGCGCTGCTTGCCTTGCCTTGCCTGGCTGGCCTTGCCTTGCCTTGCCTTGCCTTGCCTTTGCGCTGCACTCGCAACTCACTACTACTCACACTGCGCTGCAAAAGAGCGGGCGCGGGCGACGGGTGAGCAGGGAAAGTGATTGGTAAAAGGCGTCGGACAGTGGAAAGCTGGGTAGAGTTCTCGGGACGGCGTTTTAGCGTCGAAAGTGATCATCTACTTTCGACCTTATTTCCTGCCCCCAGCCAACTTCAGAGCCAATCAATTGCGAATGCGATGCCGTTCCTTCAAACTGCCGACCTGCAGACCGATGGAAGAGTGGGCGATGGCGCTGATGAAGAGACGGGACAGCGGTGGTAGGGGAGGGGATGCGCAACACAGTGATGAGATGGAGATGCTGCACTGCAGATGGCGGCGTGGGAGAAGCTGAAGAGCAGGCTCACAAGACACCAGCCAGACAGCCAGGCCGGGTGCAGGTGCAGCAGGCCGCGTAGTATCAACGTAAATAGTGCGAGTTATGAAGACATGCAAGCAGCAGCAGCCTGGTCCAACGTCCACCACCACCACCACCACCAGCCGCTCTAGCCGGGTTGGTCTTGTGAAACGGGCAAGCGAAGGACTGCGCAACGCGACGCACCTCATCGACAGACAGATGCAGACGCAGATGCAGACGCAGCCCGCTCCGGTCCAGCCTAGCTGGTTCAGTGCATTGCGTCGCATGCTGCTACAGTGCCACTCTCTCACAACTTGGAAGTGAAGTACTTCGAGTACAGTGCCAGTGCCAGTGCAGTGCCAGCCCTGTAAACATGCCGTCCCGACCCGAGCAGAACCAGAACCAGAACCAGAACCAGACAACACGAACAACCATTATTATTATGATTGACCTCAGAGGCTCAGACAGAGCCGGCACAGTAACCACTAGTCTCTACGGTGACGGGGTATCGGCTCAAGAGTCAAGACAGCGTTGGCCTAGAGATTTATGCATGCATGCAAGCACCAGCCGAACCGAAGTAGTATTGTGGGTTTACAGCCCCTGAGAAATGGAGGTTGTGTACATCGTATATTATACTGGTGTACACCTATGGATATACATCGGGTATACCCGAATACCAGGATATCCGAGCAATATTAAGCAGCTTGGCGGGATGTAGGCGGGATATCAGCGTATCCGATAACTCCGCGTGGTATATATACAAAGAGCTCGCCTTAAAGGGTCGTATATATAGTGTATTACAGAGCGTGTACACCATCCACAGGTTGGTGGACCACATCACTAAACCGAAGCCACTTGCAGACACACACGCCCCTGATTTGCTCGCCAGTCTCAGGCCTAGAACGAATGCGGACTCTCATCTGAACACAGCAGCAGCAGCTCGTATCCTCCCAGCCTCCAAGTCTGATCAGCGACCCCGACCTCAAGTCCCTTCTTTTTATATGCAGGAAGTACAGCACATAATAGACGCGGTTCATCAGCCGGGTCAACAATGCTGTACGGTAACTAGTAACTACTGTACTTGTGACAAGAACGGCAAGCAAGATGATGTCCTTCCTTCCTTCCTTCCCCCTTGGCGGGGCGGGCGGGCGGGCGTCCAACTTGATATCAAGCTCAGCGTTAGCGTCTTCTTAAATCCTTCCATGCTGCATTCTCGAAATTGCGTAGATCGGGAAGTCCCGACGGCTTTCGTCCCACCAGTTCTCTGCCACTGCATCGCTGTCCACCAAACCACGCCTGGCATCTCTGCAGGGGCGGGGGCGGGGGCGGAGGAGGAGGAGTCGATCTCACATTATTCTCATCTCATCTCATCTCATCATCACCACGGAAAAGAGCAGCCGACATTCAATGGACGTCCTTCGCGCATAAATTACCTCCGTCACCATCTCTGTCCTACTGATACCCATATTCTTCTGCAAGGATCGTACAGTACACATCCTATCCCGAGTGGCTTGGTTGGCCGGCATAATGCGCTGGCAGACGTAGTACCAACCCAGCTCTGTATGACTCGCTCAAGACAAGAGTCGGAGCATGTCAGGTACATGCATGAACCCTTTCGTGTGACGCCTTGCATTCGTCATGATCACCACTGCGTTCTTCAGCATCATCGAGAACAGTGTGACATGATTGTTCAGCTTCAGCTTTTGACAGTCTTAGGCTCTCCATGCTGTTCATCTAGATACATTACGAACATGCTTCTAGCCAATTAAGCCTTCAGCTCTCGACACCTTTGTCGCGCTGCAATAATACCTTACATCTTCTGTACAAACAAGAACGTAAGTGGGTATCAACATTCTTCCCAAAATCTCCCAAATAGAGATTGCAGTCGACCGCGCCAGATACATCCCAAAAATATTCTGATCCTCGCTATGCAGAAAGTGTGGCTGAAATGCCAGAGAGCGCTCGGAATGCGGCAGTAGAAATAATTGTTTAGTAGCGATAGTCAGGCCATGTAAGTCGTTAGGCATAGCTCGCGGTCGCATCGGGGGGCGTGTCCAATGGCATTGTGATTATGTTTGCCAGTAATTAGCAGTCTTTCAAGCCATTATCGGGTTGATTAATCTCGTCGTGCGCCTTTCTGCGAGCATATCTCGGCGTCCAGGAGGTTGCAGCGATCCGCCAGGCCCGCCTCTGCGTGCTTGAGCGCGCATAGCAGCAAGAGCGTGCCGTTCGCAGAACACCTTGCCAGTGATCTCGAAGTAATCGTCAGATAGCACTGTGCGACACTCCCAGCATGTGAAGCAGCGGGGATGGAACTTCTTGTCCACGTTGCCAAATCTGCTCGAGCTGGTCGTTTCCAGGTACTGGCCTTCAATGCCTCTGTGGCAGCCGTGGCACAGAGATCCGTTCTTCTCATGATAATCATGCTCGCAGTAGGGCTCGTTGTCGATGACATAAAAGTCAGCAGTGACGAAAGGCTTTGTGCACGACTTGCATACGAAGCAAGCCTTATGCCATCTTCCCGTCAGACGACCATCGGCCGCTTTGACCGATTTCCCTTCAATGAGCTGCCCGCATCCTCGACACATTGCCTTCGCATTGGTGGGTCGTCGCCGTGCTGTCCGTGGCCTTGACGCCTGTCCTGGAACAGGTGGAAGTCTGGGGGCGCTCGGAGACTGCGTCCTAGAACTTGCGGTCTTCACGCTAGGCGCGGCGTAGTCGGGCCCAGCGCTGCTTGTGGGAGAGGCAGAGCGGGCCACACCCGATCTTGCCATCCTGCTAGTCGCACTTGTTGCTTCCGCATGTTTCGAAACGGACAACGCAGCGGGTGCTCGAACCTCCGACTGCACCGACAAGTGTTCGTGATCGCTTGAGCCTTTCCTGTTGGATGTCGTATCAATCGCTGGGCCCCATGGCTCGTAGGTGGCCCATTGACTTGTAGGGCCCGCTCGAGACTGGAGCGCTGGATCCATGGGCGACTCGAGCGGCTGCCTCCGAGGCATGCCGAATGGCTTCTGCGGCGTTTCCTTCGGGATAATCGGTTTCGCCAATGCTCGAGGAGGTGAGGACTGCTTTGGAAGCTCAGCGCGCTCTCCTGGACTCTGCTGATTGCGAACGTGTAGGGCCAGTACCCGTGCACCATCAATCTTGTCTGCATCGTTTTCGTACGTATCGAAAGCCTCTACGCTAGTTTTCGAACTACCAGGAGGACTGGGCCCATTGCTGCTGTGGTTGCTTTTGGTGTCGCAGCCCGAGCGTGTTGTCGAAGCTAGGGAGGATGCAGACTCTGTTGGAGTGTGATTACCACTCTTTTGATGTTGTGCTACAGGTTTCGGTACAGGCGGTGCGTCTCGCATTCGATAGTCCATGCGTGTACCAGCTCGGCTATCTGTCCTCACCGGAAGCTGAGAGGGTGTAATTGCTGATAGGAGGTTAGGTTCGCTCCTGGCCTTGGACAAAGTCTGTGAGTCGGGCCGCTCGTGGCTCATTTGTGCGAGTGGATATGAGTGATCTCGTCCGAATTCAGCTTCATCCCTTCGCACAGCCAGCGGGAGCACTGAATCAGGTTCAGCGCTGAATTGATCGAGGAACGATGGTGATAATATCTCGTCATCTGGTCTATTAGGACGTAGTGGAGGAGCCTTTCTGGCAGCTTCACTCGGTTCTCGAGGGACTCTATTGCTTTGAGGCGTCGAGGGTCGTCCTCTTGATCGCGACCTGTTCGACTGTGCTGTAGCAGGTCGGGCTAGAGGCTCTACCGCAGGAGCACTTGGTCTTCGACCGCTTGACGGCAATGGACTGGATGCATTTGAGTCTCCAGTGCCTTGCCTCCTAGTGCCAGCGAATGGCCCGCTCTTCAATGTGTTCAGCTTCTGCAACACATTCTCACTTGCACTCGCATTTGCACTCTTAGGTTCCAGGTTGAATGGCTCTTCTTCGGCACCCAAGTTCCGATCGAACCGAGATGTCCCTCTCGACGGAGCCCGGTCACTTCCGGTGGGTGTTCGTCTTCCCTGACTAGTCGGCGGCCTTGAAGGAGGAGGGTTCATTGATGGCCATGGCGGGAATGCGCAGTCAAGATTTGCTGATAGCTCAGGACTCGGTGGCCGAGGATCGTATAGTCGTGGCATAGGACTAGTCGCACTCCTCTGATATCCAGGCTTGGCACTTCGCATACTCGTTCCCGGCGAATCAGGCGATTCCAGGCCTGTCGGTCGGGGTGCAAGGTAAGTTCTATTTGCGGCATCCGGGTTGATTTTTGGCAAGGCTATCCGTGATGCTTTCGAGGGTCCGTTTTGATTGGAGGACGGTGTTGGAGTCCTTGTTCGCGATTGAGGGACGGCAGGCTCGCTATTACTCTGCTGTAGAGGCAGCGGTGTCATAGAAGGCCCATTGCCGCTTGCATTGAGCTGCCTTAGAGTAAAAGGATTGCTCATATTAGGCGTGTGACTTCTGGTCGTGAGAGGCGCTGGCATCTCTCCTCTGCAGACATGATCTCCCATGGCCGCTATTGCGATTTCGTCCCCACATGTTGAGCATTTGATCGTTGGTAGAAAGGAGACTGGCCGTACTCCGTCTAATGTAGCCAGCGACATGTCTGCCGTTCGATAAAGCATCCAATGCGGAAGTGATAGTTCTGACTCGCGCGCCTCTTATCGTTGTATCATTGCTCCCCGGCGACTCAAGTATATAATCGATCAATCGATGCGTCAACGTCCAGCGTCTCGTTGCGGGCGGTGCTTCGAAGCGATGGATAAGGCTCTGGCTAGCTGTGGTCACTGCAGGCAGGCAGGGTCTGGTATGTGGAAAGAGTGTGGGGAGGACGGAGTAGCATGCGCGCGCAAGCAGTGGAAGACAGAAGTGCAAGTGTGGCACAGGCGTTCGAGACGTTGCGTCGGCGATCGTGCAAGAGCCTCGAGCAAGGTTTGAAACAGTCCAAACAGACACAAAGGTCTAAGTGCTGATAGCAGAAGCGAAAGGTGCCTAATGGGGTCGACGAGCAGGGAGCTCCCAACGGACTACAAGCGTCAGCGGGCCTCTAGCGCTGGTGGGTAGTTGTGATAGCCATCGAGCCAGGCTCAGCCAGCGCTTCCCACGGCTCGTTGTTTAATGAGGCTGATCCAAGCGTCGAGCAAGGGGCACACGTGAAGTCGGCCGCGAGGGTGCTGCTGGACAACAAGAGACACTCCCGAAGATTGCGGCCTGGGCTCTGTCGCTGTTTCACCGCCGGGCGTGTTCAAGGTGGGCGCCTGTCATTCTGCGACGCCGACAACCTTGTGGCATGTCGGCGGCGGTGGCGCTCTGCCTGAGATGATGATGAGGTGAACATGTTCGTGATGCACGTGCGGGTGCGGATGCGGATGCACATGCGGATGCACATGCACATGCACATGCGGATGCACATGCACATGCACATGCGGATGCACATGCGGTGTGCGCGAGCATTCATAGAATACCGCCTCGGGTTCTGCCGGCCAGCAATTTGTTGTTGGGGCTGCGCTGCGCTGCGCTGCTTGGGGCAGAGGGGCGACGAATGTGCGGTGCACGTTGCCATGGCCGTCGCCGTCGCCGTCGCCGTCCTTTAGCCGCTGCCGTCCTGACGCGGACGCGGCCTGTGTGCGCTGACGCTCGAGCATCTGTGCTGTCACGGCTGTGCTGTGCTGTGCCTCTGCCCTCCTCGACCGTCGACCGTCGACCGCGACGCTTGGCGCCTGCGGAGATTTCGACATTCGCAGCGGCTGTAGCCGAATCATTGATCGCACATGAATGAGATTGAGCCTTCACCATCACCGTCATGACAATTACAATGATTACATCAGATGGAGATTATTGACGGCTTCCGTGCGGGCATGAACCCAACCAGGTGTCCTTGGCACATCGACCCGACATCATCACCAGTGCCCAATAATAATAATACATATCTGTGCACCGTCAGGGATCACGCCCTCGCCCTCCCAGCCCCAGCTCCACGCATGGGTGGCAACCATTGGCACTGCCAGATTGGTCCTTCGATAGTCCAGTCGGCATGCTTGCTTGCGAAATACAGCTTTCCCCATTCGGCGCAATAGATTCACTACACGTACAGTCAAGACCACAATGCCTGGTCTACCGCTAGTGTGCTCGCGAAGATACCCCATCACCAGGGTGGAGTAGAGAGAGATGTTCAATAATGATGCCTCCCTGAACACCGCCCTCTGGTTGCTGCAGAAGCTTCCATCATGGAGCCTCGGCTGCTCGTTCCCCCATACATATTATTCCAGCGATCTCAGCTCATCGCACGACGGTGTAACTGTGAACGTCTTCGGTCTTCTACCTGAGATCATCAGAACTACCGTACCGCCATGCTGCCATAACTATACGTCGAAAGCGTACCTTGACAGATAAGCTGGCCGGCGGCAATAAAATGCAAAAAACCACCCTGAACTTCTACTTCAAGGTTCGGCGGCTGCAAATTGTTTGGAAATGGCTTCAAACTTCTTGGCTTGCTAGCACGCATACCGGTGCTGAACACGGAACTCGGAGGCTGGAATTCCTCTTATTACGTAGACACGCACGGCCAATGATACTGATCAAGCGAGTGATATCTCGCATGGTCCAGGTCAAAGTGAATCGTTATTGTGCTTGTATGGCATGTGCAAGGTCACACATGATGCTTTCATCAGCGTTATGTGTCAATCGATGCACGATGATATGCACGAGTCAAGAGCGTAGACTTCGACATCCAAGCGCCAGGGCCAGGGCATGGTGTCATCGATCTCGCATTCTTCATCCTGAGACGAAACACATGAGAGATTCTCAAACAGCAATGTGATGAAAAGAGATATATCTGGGTATTCGTAATTCCTAGGGCAGCTCCATCGTACTTGCGACTTTCAGCCATCTCGTTCGTCCTTCGTTCACCTTCGTTTGCCTGCAACAATTATTCACCTTCTCTGCTGCGCATTGAGCACTCGCGCCAGGCCCCTTAAAGCATCCATCTGACCAACACCCTTGTCGGAAGCGCGGTGCCTCTGCCTCTCCCTTTGGTCAAGAACGTGCGCAGCATCTCCCAACGATTTATCTGCAACTCGTTCCGCAGTATCCCGCGTCGTCTTGAGCGCATGAATGCCATGCACAAACCTATCCACCGCAAATTCGATATCGTTCGAGATTGTTCTGAGACGTTCCTGAATCGCTGCAGGGTCTGTCGCCGATGCACCTGGAGCGGATTGTAATTGCTCAAAGATCGCTCTTTGCGGACTGTCAAGGTGTCCTGGGTGAACCGATGATGGTCCATCTTCGGATTGTTCTTCGTGCTGCAGATTGACCGCTGCTGCAGACTTTACCAGCTCATCCCACTCGGCCCGTTCGCTCTTTAATCTGTGTCGGGACATGGTCAGCGAGCATCCTAATCTGGCTAAGCACTTCCGATTTACCTTTCGAGCTCTCTTTCAAGCTCTTCTGCCTTCGTTGCATTTGCAATATTACGAGGATTCGGCTTCTTCCTTAGTGGGAGCTGAGGAGGCACTGACTCGTCCCGTGAGAACCAATCGCTGAGCATTCCATTGTTGACAAGATCCTGGGACAGCTCCTCTTGTATCACGCGTGCTGCATTTTGTCAGCTTCGAAGAACGACATTCGATACAGTATATTGTTGCACTCACCAGCTTGAAGAGCTTGGAACTCCTGATTCGCGGTAGGAGCACTCTGAGCAGGCGGAGTGGGTTTCGGCGGTAAAAGTCGTATCCCACACCATCCAAGGAGACACCGCATGCGTCTTGGCTCCGTGAGATCCGCAGAAATATGTTTGAAAAACTCAGACGAAGGCACTTCGCTATGCGGCATTGCTGTTGCGCGAACATTTTGGTCAGCGGCTTGTTCTTGTACTGCTTGGTCACCACATTGTCGCTGAGGCGATGACGCAGGATCGCTGTCCGGTGAAGGATAGGCGCCTTGAGGAGACTTCTCAGATGACCGAAACTGATTTTCCGCAAGAGTCGAAGTTTCTGACACCTCTGCGAGCAAAGGTGTCAGGTAAGAAGTATCACATAGGAAAGAATCCGGCTTACCATGACCACGTCCCTCGTCAATCACGCTACTCGCTCGCTTGCCTCGCAAACCAGCGCTGCTCCGCCTGCCATTCTCGCCACTGCCCTTTCGCATTTCTTTATTCCGTCGCTGTACTGGAGTGTCGGCAAAAGGGAGCATGATGCGCATCACCTTTGCCTCTTCGCCTCCATCATTACCAGCCTTCCGATTCTTCTCGATCGTGAGTGGCCTACCACGAGCTGGACTGGCCTGTCGTTCTGCATTGGCATGCGATTTGGCGTGAGATGCGCGGTGGGGTGAAGGCTGCGTCGCTGCATGCTCCTCCGCCTCATTTGATAGCCGCTTGCTACGACGCACTGGCTTCTCCTTCTCCCCAAGTTCAGGCGTGGTCGGTAGACGCTTTCGAGTCTTCTTCTGAGCTGTTTTGGGTACTGGCTCGTCTGCTACGGGCTCTGGTGCAGGTGGTTCGGCCGGCGCTGCTGTAGTCTCCTCAGCAGACTTGTCCGCGGATATTTGTTTCTGGTCAGAGTTCGTCGCGTCTTTCTTTCGCCGGCTCCCTTTCCTTGCAAATTTGAAATCGTCCGCCTCATCTGTGTATTCTAGAATCAAAAGTCAGCATCCCCCGTCGCAGCATATCTGTGCCAAACCCTACCTTTCCGTTTCTTCTTAGACGCTGTCTTATTTTGATCGCCATCCTGCTGTTTCGTGTTCACCGAGGTTGTCGTCGTTGACGCGCCATTGACCTTTGCCTTCTTGGTTGGTGGCTCATTTTCTGCGCCTTCATTGCTGTTGCCCTCCCCGGACAGCCGCGCGCTGCGTCTTTTCTGCGATACGCTTCCGTTCATTCCAACAACTTCCAATGGCGACCTTGTCAAGACGACTGACATATCTTGTGCTCGCAAAACTCATGCGCCTTCCGATTCCAATCGCGTCGGGGATCGCGTGCGCGCCGGCTGGTCAGTGTCGAAGCTATCGCGGCGCATACATATAGCGCCAGCAGTATGCGAATGCTCGCTATTCGGCGCGTGAGTCCGGAATCTGGCGCGTGAGTCCGGAATCTGGCGCGTGGTAAAGATGTTGTCGGTGTGTCCGTGCGATTCCAATGTTGACGTGCCGTGGTCGACGCTCAGCTTGTTGTTTTGGGGGGTTTCCTCGGCTAACTTTCCGTTTTCAGATTTTTGCTCGAGCTAGGACTGGTGTATACATACATCTCTGGACTGCTGGATCCGAGTGCATCGAATTCCGATATTCGGAAGTGGAATTGCGGACATACATCACCTGAGCGCTTTCAAACAGCTATATTGAATATCTGCCCGCAGCAAGATCTCTCTGAAATAGCAAAAGCTACACCTGAAGTAGCCACCTTTTCCCCACAGACATGCTCCCACTCTCATCGTATCTTGACAACATCTCCTCCTGAGAGTTATCAGCTTCGAACTCCCAGGACACAAATTCTGCCTCCAGCTATGCTTTCATCCCCGGTCCATCCAAACAGAATCGTGATGCGACAGAACAACATTCGGTCCGCGAGATATTTCAGCTCGTCGTGTTGCATCGCCAGTAGGTCTTCTGGGCCTCGGCCAAGAAGCTCACGCCAGGCTTGATCGGAGAAGAGCAGCTTGCCACCGTCAATGACAGCAGTCTCGTCGATCACCTGCCCAAGTATACGTGGGTTGAGCCGAAGCGAGACTTGTTTCTCGCATCCTTTGCAAGCTGCGGAAAGAGCATTCGCGTGGATTGGTATGGTACAGCACTCGCCACTGAGTAGCATCTGTCGCTTCCAGTACTGTAGGAGCTTCACTTCCATGATGAGCAGACTCATGTAGCCTTGAAATGTCTCTCCGGGAGCACACCGTGCGAATTCATCAAGACTGGCAGTGGTGAATAAGCAGCGGATGGGGCCACTCTCGATAGTCTCAATGTCGAACACGCCCTCTGGAAATGCTGGATTGATGGCTTCTCTGCTTCGCTGTCGCGCTGACCAGCGACGCAACCAATCTGCATCAGGGATTACTGGGTCAACGTCCACGATGGTGGCAGACGTAAGGTTGAAGTAAGTCTGTGAATTGTCAGCTTTCAAGCTCACTTCAGGGCAGGTCCATGACATACTGAGCGTCCAATTTTCCAGCCTGGTGACTGAAGTAGTAGTACTGTGTGGCCAGCTTTCCATCCGTCTGTCGCCAATTGTTGTCTTGTGTCGTGGTTGCCGAACTCTTCGTTGTGATTAGATGCTGGCGATGATGCGACTGTGCCCCAGAGACCAAGCGTAGCTTCGGCAGTATCGTCATGAACCTGGAGCGTTACATTCTCGGTGACGCTCTCATCGCGGCGAGTCACTGGATATATTCAGTGATTGTTTTTGATCGGGTGTTCTATCAGCTCACCTTTCCTCTTCGCACCGACACTCTTGACCACAACGAGGATTCTGGCGTCAATCACATCGTAGCCTCCATCAATGAAGCTCTGGAGCGTCATGAGATTGTTGAGTGGCATTCCTTCGGTATAGCCCAAAGGATTTCGGTATCTTCCATCATCACTATTCTGATGTACGAAGATGTGACAGTTGCGATCCCGCTCAGGGAAGAGGGATGCGAAGAGTGGTGCACTTGCACTTGACAAAGATCCATTCTCGCCATTGCTGACTGCATCAATGCATCAGTACAATCCGATATCCCTAAAGCTCGTTGGGCAAGTGGCTCACCATGGTTCGTCCAGATGGACACCAATGAGCCCAGGCGGACACACGGTATGCGAGAAGCGTACCACAGCCTGACTGTAATAGCACCTGCACCATCTTTGACTACAAGTTTGAGACAACCTTTAGCAGAGCGTGGGCTCTTGGGTGCATTTGCCACGTCAAAGATATTGGCAACTCTACCCATGAACGTGACAGCGTTGGGACCTGGCGTCAAATCGCTGATCTCGTAGTCGGCATATTCGAACTCCGGATGCCATGCCTCCGCAGGCTTTGGCTGCAGTGCTTGTTGCAGTTCTTCCTCTGTGAAACCATCGCCAATCGGCGTACTGGAGCGGGTCGTGGAAGATTTGACTGGCGAAGTAGTAGGCGTTAGGTAGGCCTGGATGGAGGCATTTTTACCGCCCGATCGACCCATGATGAGCGGAACCAGCGCGAAGAACAACCACAGACAACGGAAAGAGACAAATTGGAGGAGGGAATTGATCAGCGGAAATGGGAGTGTGGAAGTCGCGTCGCGCTTTCTTCTTTTCGACCTACCAAAGTTGGCAAGGCAAGAGCGTGACTGTGTCCTCCACCTCTCTTCCATCACAGGCAGCTCAACCTTGCCTTTCCTACTCGTTGTTCATCCTATACGGCTGGGCGAGCAATTCCGTGTTCAAGCACAGCGGCCTTGACTCGTCTCCATCGGCACGACATGATGGCTAGACGGCCTCGCCGGCTGTATAACTTGCCAGCTCAAACAACAAGCCGTGTTTGCCTCCAAAGCTGTAGTAGCGGCCATATCACCTCCGCAGATTTCTTGTTGAGCTGAGCTCACGTCCCAGTTGCAATGAAAATGGCATTTTCCAATATATTGTGTCCCAGCTCATGTCTTCTCCCGCCATGCATTTGCTTTCCTGGCCTGCGCTTCCAGCGTCTCCCTCAGCCATGGTGTGCCAGCTTTGTCGCCGTTCGTCATGCCGACATCCTCGCTCACAGGCGCGATTGCTGCAGCACACGCTTGTTGACTGGCATCCATAACCGCTTCCCAAGTACCAATATCAAAGATACCAGACGACTCGTCAAGAAGCTGTTCACCGTGCTGATTGAACGCTGTGGCATGTATGCTCCTGCTTCCCAAGACCTCTTTCTCGCTTGGATCAACAACAACCTTGCCACTGTCAGTGACGACAGCTAGCACCGCGCTGGTAGTCGTTGCAAGAGGTACACCGCCATCGATCGCCGCAGTAAGCGAAGCGTTGATTAAGGCGGGCAGGATCGCAATATCGCCAGTCGTTTTCCTAAACTGGGTTTGTGGTTGATTGCTGACTTGCACTGTGAACTGAAACAGTGTTCGAGGGTGGAGATGTACGAGGAGGATCGACCTGAGAACCTTTTGCATGATGCCTTCTAGCCATCTTTCTCGTGGCCCGCCGACCCCAGAGGACGGTCGAAAGTTGACTTCAATGGCGGCTTCTTCGGGGAGCTCGTCACGGCGCTGTACTTCAACAGGGCCATTGACGCCTGCAATAATCGTGTACAGGCCGTCTGAAAAGACGGAAGAGCCGTCGGCTCGCGATAATGGGTGCTGCAAGAGCTCCGGACCCATGGTGTAATGGTAGTGTGATGTACGAAGTTTAAAAGTTCGAGTTCACGATCGTGATTGACGCCGAGCAATCTCCGGCCAGAATCTGCATAGAGAGGCTACATGTGATAAGGGATGCCAAATTGCTGCTCTTACATTTTGTAATGCTGAATCTCACATTTTCGAAGTCAAGAGGAATAGTGCAATCGTAATGAATGGCACAGATACGAAGAGAGACGGAGAACGTCGACATGGGTATGATACTTTTCATTTCCAATTCCTTCTGTGCTATCCAGGTCAAGTACCAAAAACTGCCGTCATTTCAACTGACTATCCTTCTCAGGCTCAATAGTCGGCGCCGTTGAAGCGGCAACGGTACATCTTGCCTTTCGGCAGTACCGAGCTTGAATACAATCTCATTCCCGATCAAGGACCAGAAAGAAGGGCAACGTCAAGTTCCTGACGTGGCTACAGAAATAAAGTATGTTGCAAGAATGAGTGTGTAATTTGGTTTGTTCCAGTCGTAAGCGGCCGTAATCAGAGCAAATCTGCGATCCTCGCAGGGAGGAGAAATATGCTCGCATGATGAAGATGTTTTCACAGAGAACAGCTTCAGAGCACGGGCACTCGCGCAGCGGTCAACGTGCCGAGAGCTGTGCTGAAAATAATTTGTGAAAAAATACCACCGAATCCAATCCATCCCTTCGCTGTCCAAGTGCATTGAGCAATCCAAGGTCCCCGAAGAATCGTACAAAGCGTGATGTCCAACCAAGAAAGTCGTGAGCCGAGTGAGTGTCAAGAAGACTTCCAATCTACACGATGTGGCTTCTGCGCTTCTCAGCCGCGTTGAGCACACCCAACATCATCTTCTTGCGCTCACCGCCGCCAGATCCCGGAGCCGCTGGAGTAGGCGGGTTCTTGTAAATGCCCATGTCTTCACCCTCACTGCTGGAGGCTGAGCTCAAGCCGAAGTATCCATCAGCAGAGCCTCGGCTACTACGCTTCTCCTTCATCTCGGAACCGATCGGGCTCATCTTCGCAGCTTGAAAGTCGTACTCAGCCTCGCTAACAGGGCTCCCTCCGGGAGATCGCGAAGCTCCGCGACGAACCGTGCCGGCCTTCATAAGACTATCCAGAGCCCGACGGCGTTGACGAGTGGCGAAATTCTTGCTGCCTTCGTGCAGACTCGTGGGAGCGGCAGAGAGCTCTTCAAATGGCGGGGGACCTCGGGGCTGGCGCGTTGGATGTTCGCCGGCGCGGGCGGCGCCAGGACCGAACGTGCCAGTCATTGGAGTAGGTGGGATCACGCTGCGCTGAGAGCCGAACGTGGCGGCGCTCGAGGTCTTTGGTCCATCTGCAATGTTCGAGAAGGAACTGATCGATAGGGAAGAGGACTTTTTATGGCCTTGACCACGACGGAATGCATTGGCGGATGGCGGTGGAAGCGGCTCCACGGCGTCGACAGCGGAAGGAGGAGACGGGGCTTTCTTGGGTGGAGTAAAGGACCGACCGCCATAAGGCGTGGAGCGCTCAGTGGCCGGTGGTGTAAAGTTGTTGAATCTATCAGCGGATGGCTCAACATTGGTCGGGGAGAAAGGATTCATCTGAGCCTGTTGAACTGGGGAGGCGATCTGCTGGGCCTGCTGCTGATAATTTTGATCGACCGCGTACGTGTAGCCTTGGGTGGCTGGATTGTAAACAAGATAGACGCCTGGTTGTCCTGGAACCTCAATTGGAGATTGAATCTGCTGCGGTTGCTGCGGCTGAACGTAGAAATTTTGCGTGGTGAGCGGGGTCATCTGGCCCTGGTGGAAAGATGCACGGCCGTTCATGCTCATGTTCTGAGTTGCAGCAGTGATGCTCGCCAGCTGCTGCTGGAGCTGCTGCTGGCGCTGGGCCAGGTAGAGACTATGCAACTGCATCTGCTGCAGGACCTGAGGATCAACATCCTCAGCCTGCTCATACACTGAAGGCGGAGCTAGAACTTGTTCTGGGAGCGAGTACATCTGGCGGCCAGCGTTCGAGGCATACTGGGATGGCAGATCGAAGCTGGCTGCGGAAGCAGTCTGTGGAAGGCGTTGCCCGTATCCATTGTAAGTCTGCTCCGCCCACTTGGGGCCACCCAGACCAGACATGGAGTAGTGGGTCTGATGGTAAGGAGCCGAGGCTGGAGCTCCAGGAGCTTTTGGCTGGGTCCTAAGTCCTGCAAGCAGGTGCGATCGACTGGTCCGAGGAGTAGGGTCATCGACAGTAGGATTCTCGTTGATAGGGGCCACTTTGGGAGGCAGCGCCACGCTCAGCCTCTTGTTGTTGAGACGCGACCGGGCGCCAAAGCCGGAAGAAGCTGGTGGGAGACCGAGGCCATTTGGGAAGCCGTTATTTTGGTTGTTGTAAGTCATTTGAGCAAGACCGCCTGCGTCAATGCTCATAGTTTGTATCGTTAAATCCTGATAATGCGTGAAGACCGGAAAGTTTCGAGCCGTGCTGATGTCAAGAAGAGCTGCAGTGGAAGATGTATTTCGCAGCTGGCGAAAGAGAAATCGTTCACAAGTAGCAGATTAGGCAGACGCTGGCGGGAGGCTTCGTGTCGAGGAAAGCCAGATTAGGCCGGTGTCTCAAAGCACACGGCGTGATGTAAGGTACAAATTACAAGATTACAAAGAGATGTTGCTCTTTCAAGGTGGTCGAGCCAGCTGCGGCGACAATGGGCAGGCCTTTGTCGAAAAATGCCGCCGGAAGATGAGAGTGCAGAAGTGGCGGTTATGATCAAGAGTCGCTGACGTCGCTCTGCCGTTTCCCAGACAAGAAGTGGTGTGTACAGAATGGCGATGCAGGCGTGGCAGAAGAGGGTGCCAAGGGATGGGATGGATAGGTCGGGGGTCGCGTGAATCTGGCGCCTGGCAGAGGGTCTGACACGATGCTGTTGAAAACGGACAAGCAGGCGTGACTGACGCTGTTCGTGCGGGCGGAGATGCGTGCCGAGAGGTTGTCGGGAGGGTATGTATGTATGTGGTGGGCGGTGCGGCGGTGCGGCGGTGCGGCGGAGTGGTGATGGTATGGATTAGGAGCTGCCTGATTGCGACGGAGGCTCGTGTCGGCCGGCAAGCTGGAAGCGAATCGGGCAATGGATGTTGATGCGGCGAAAGAGCAAGAGCACAATATCGACTGCGACGGAGGGACGGGCCAGGCAAAGAAGGAACGATGGGCGCGACGGTGTGGTTATGGTGAAGAACGCGGCAAGGCAAGGCAAGCTAACGAACTGCACTGCGAGAGCGAGGAGGAGCGTCCGTCTCCTTTTTCTCGCTGGCAGGCGCGCACGGACGAGGCGCCGTGCTGGCCAGTCACATCCCCTGTCGCCATGCTGCCGCTCTAGCTTCCCGCGCTCCGCCATCCCTGCATCCAATTGCTGGCTCCAGACGCGATCGATGTTCACGGAGCATGCGCGCTATTCTCTCATCAGCATGTCGGTGTCGATGGCTTTCCCACCTTGTGACTACTGTGTATGCGTAGCACCTCTGCCTGCACGCCCACACTGCAGCAGTGGCAGTGGCAGTGGCAGTGGCAGTGGCAGCAGCTAGAGACAGTGTTGCTCTGGCGGCAGACTCCGGGAAAATCGTGTCCGGTACATGCCATGCCGTTGTTTCACTTCGCTGGAACAGAGACCCACCAATGCACCATCTTCTCGCGTCCAGCCCTGTCGACCTGGGACCAGCGTAGCGAGTCGACTAGCTAGTAGCTACAGACCACTTCACGGCCGGGCGGCGCTTACGCTGAACATTTTTCGCACACAGCGCTTTCAGGGCACATGTGGCCTAGACAGTTTCACAGCATGCACGATCGCACGCATTGCCGTGAATCGCGAAGTCCGTTGCGGCGTTTGGGTGTCTGTATTCTGGCAACGCTTGGCAGCGCACGTACCTCCGGAAGTACGCGGTTCCCACAAAATGACGCAAAACCCACGTTATAGCAACATATTGCTGGGAACCGAGTAAGATGCTAGCAACGCTAGCAACGCTGGCAATACCTCGCTAGCAATACCTCGCCGTCGCTAGCAATAGCGATAGATAAAGCTAAAGTATTAGTAAGCTATTAATAGTATAGTAAAATAGAGGTATTGTTATCGCGCTCTTTAATTAGCTATCTATCTACCTTACTATCGGTGTCGCTACTATCGCACTCGCTCTACCTACTCTTCTAAGACCTCTTTATTTATTACCTATTATAGTAGTATCTTATATCGCTTTATAGCGCCTATCTATAGATTATAGTATAGCTTAAACTATCTATTCTACTATTATATGTCTGCGTTTAGCGGCGGTCGGATTAGTATGTTTTATAGAAGGTTCTTAGTCTAACTAAGGTCGCTATCGGCGGCGGCGGCGGTAGTAGTAGTTAAATAGTATAAACAGCTTAGCGTAGTAGGTACAAAAAGTATAGAAGGTAGCATTTCCGCTAGGTAGCGAGTTAGTAAGTAGTCGCTCTCGCTATTACCGCTATACTATACGTTATTACCGCCGGCGGTAGATTAGAAGTTATTTAATACGCGCGTAGTATATTAAGTCGGAAAGAAAGGTTATAATAAGAACGATAGCAGCGGCGGCGCCTATTAACTAAGCCGTGTCTTACTAATATAAGTCGCGTCTTCTAGATTAGCTATTATACTAAGGACCTAGTTATCGATATTGTCGTTGTCGCTATCGTCGCTATCTACTATATTGTTATTAATAAAGTTGTCGCGAGTCTAGTTAATTTAATATTAGAAGTCGTTATCTAACTTTACCTTCTCGAGCTACTAGTCTATTAATAGTTAGTAGATCGCCTCGCTAACAACCTTCGAATAGTACTTATAGAGATACTAAATATAGTCGTTATAGTCCTTCTTTAAGAGGTTGTTTATTAACTAAGTAGCTATTATAAAGGTAGGTATAGGCATAGGCTAGGTAGGAGGCCCTAGCCTCCTATAGTATATACTTCTCTAAGCCTAGATAGACTTAGAATAATAATCTACTTTATAATATACGATATATAACAAAATAGTAGCTTTGCTTCGAGTACTAGCGTAAAATACGTACTAACTGTCTCTAAACGGACTATCCGAACTACGGTTTACTATTCCCCTCTCTAAGGCGAAAGTCCTTCGCGCCGAAGGAGAGTCCTAACGAACTACTCTAATACTACTTTCCGTACTATTAAACGCCGTAGCTATACTATAAGAAAGAGGCTGTAATTTAGTACGAAAATATACGAGACCTACTAGCGAATCGGTACGGAAATTAACGATAGACCTAGCCTAGCGCCGCGGCGCGCTTTACGCTCCCTCTATTAATACCCTTACTTGCTAAGGGTAGGAACGACATTTCGGGTTAGTAGGAGCTAGGTACCTAACCCTCCTAACTTCCTCTTTTTAGGTACAAGGATATAGAAGGTTCCGATTACTCTTACGGCAGCTACTACGTCTATACCTACGGTTAATATTAAGACAGTGCCCTATTCCGTCTCTTAGCGAACAACATCTACGTCTTAATATAGGAGCTTATAGTATTAAAGGACTAGGAATCTCCGAACGAGCCGCCGCCTATAGCCTAGGAGGATTGCACTCTTTCCGAATTAAAGGAAGATAGATACTACCTAGTTTATATAGCATATATACTATTAGCCTTCTCGAAACTAAGGCAGTACCTAAATAAGCTATTCGAGAAGGATCTTAGGTATAGAGTTATCGCTATTACCGAGTAGTACGAGGATCCGGAGGAGGCTAAACCTCTACGTCGCCTAAGGTTATAGTCCCGTATTCTAGATACGGACAAAGACGCGACTCCTAAACCTTAGATACGCGCTAAGATTATTAGTTCGTAGGTTAACGACAACTCCCTATCGCTTTCCGCTATACGACAAGTATATCGTCTAACTTCGCACTAGTCGGATAGCCTATATTTCGCTTAGTAGCTAGTAGAACACCTTAAGTCTACTAACGAGAATCCGGCTGTAGGCAAGAATTAGCTACGTCGCTATAAGGTTTATATCCCTCTACGACTAGAGAAGTAGGGCGTCCGTCGCTTAATTAAGAACGAGAACTTAGGCTAAGCTAAGCCTAATAGACGTAGGGAGTCTTTTAAAATTAACCCGCTAACGGGTAACGTTTTTAAGAATTTCGGTATCTTTTGTAAAGACGACCCGCCTCCTAAGCCTTACGAGAGCTTATTAATCTCGGTATCTAGCAGTTCGATACTTAGCTAAAGTTAGCTCGCTACCGGATTCCTAGCTAGAGGGAGAAGATATATCGGGTAAGTAGGTTTTAGGATCTATAGCACTAGCGAACGGTATAGCCGGCGCTAAATAGCGAGATAAAATTAGATAAATAAAGTCCTAGGTAGCTTAGCAGCTAGCCGAGCAACGTACTAAGGTAGATAATAATCGAGCTACGGATCGTATACGTCTATAGAGGGCACTAGACGAGCAGCGCGAGGCTTACGAGATCGAGATATAGGCCTAAATCTAATAAGCGTTTAACGAAGGCCGTAAGGAGGCTATAAGAGCTAAGAATAAGAGTAGAGATAAGGGTATAGAAGCTAGTAGAGCACTACCTCCGATAGCCTTAGAATAGCGCTATACTATCGATACGAATAGTATCTCTAAATTGTTCCTTACCGACGAATAGCGACGTCGAAGGAGGAATACTAAGTCTACTAGGCACTTTAACGACGAGGTTACCGCTAATAACAACGCTACTACTAATACTAATACTAGGAATAATAGGAATAATAATACCTCCGCTAGCGCTAATAACGACAATACTAGATACGATAAGCTAGAGGCATTAGTAGGAAAACTAGTAGAGGTAATATAGTCTAATAGCGCCGCCTTAGCGGCCCTACGACCGAATAATAACTATTCTAGGCTACCGGGGCAGCAGCGATATAGAAATCTTTACGCAATGCGTAGCCGAACTAGCTAAGGTACGACTAGAGCTAAGTAGCTAGCTAATTAGAATCGGAATACTCGAGCTAGTATCGTACTAGAGATTAGCTCGGAACGCTACGCCTATAGAGGCCTTAACGCTAAAGGCAATCCTAGGCCTGCCTAAGATAGGGCCGGCTTTATAGACCCGAGGTTCGAGCCCGCCGACGTATATACTCTACTATACGCTAGTCCTCCTTATACTCTAGTTACGGACTTTAGCTAGGAGGTCGCGCCCTATAAGTTTAAGCCTAAGTAAGTTAGGTATTTTAATAAGGACCTTCCGGAGAGTAAGGGTAAAGGCCTAGTTATATATATTAGCAATACGGCCTATTATCGAGACGTTTTTGCTTTTATTACTCGCCTCGATATAGCTATTTAAGTAGGCGAGTATCTAGTAGCAACCCTACGTCTATTACTATATAAATGCCTTTAGGGCTCCGCCTTAGCTTAGTACCTTTACGGCCTTACTAACGATCGACGTACGCTCCTTTAAACTAGCCTAGGTATCGAGCGATAGAAGGAGGCCTTACGCGAGCAGTTCCGATTAGACCCCTTAGTCGCGGCGCGCGAATTAGAATCGGAATAATATCGCATTAAGGAAGTCGCGGCCCGAAAGAGCGTAAGCGAATTCGTTATTAACGTTATGCGTTTAGCGTAGCAAAGCGGTACGGAGTTACTTATAAGGTAAATTAACTATACCTTCCGGAAAATCGTACTAGAGCTACGTAGCGATCTTAATATACCTACGCTATTATAAACGTATTAGACGCTTATCGATATAATACAAGCCTATTATACGATATAAGTAGAGTTATATCCTCTAGGCAGTACTACTACCGGCTACTATAATAGTAAGTTAAACCTTTAACGTAGCGATTCGGTATAGGGTAGGTTCGTAGATCCTAGGTTCGCGTCTAGGTCTCGTTTTAATACTAGACGCTCGTCTTTCCTTAGAAATAACAATCCCTATAACCGGTAGCAACCTAATATATTCTAGCAACGCCGTTAGCCTAGATTATAGGTCTATAGCCGCTAGAGACTATAGGGCGTAAACGCAAGCGTAAACGAGAAAATAGTAGACGCCCGTAGTCTCCTATAGTATCTAAATCCTTAGAGATAGTAGACGAATTTCGGAAATGTAAGAGGCTAAGGCATTCCCGCAAATTCCTAGGCTCGTAGTAAAGCTACGTTCTTCTACGATTTAGTAGACCTAGGGTAGGAGACTAACTATTAAGAACTAGAATACGATAATACTATCTAAGCCGAGGGCGGAG